ACATCCAAACATACTATCCACATTCATCTGTGTCCACACTTGTTAAAAAACAATATACATATATAAAAGATACGTCAAGTTTTATTAATTCGATTGAAAATATAAAACCCCAACGAGACTGCTATCTAGTAACATTCGATGCAAAAAATATGTACACTTGCTTTACATTTAATGAAATACTAGAAGCCACTAACGCGGCACTGACCAATATTGATCCAAGGGAGTATGAAATTAAAGTTCCATCAAAGGACAGTATACCTCGCCTATTAAGGCTTATTCTAGAGAACAATGAATTTATTTTTAACAATAAACTTTACCGTGAAACCTTGGGCGTGCCTATGTGCGGATCGGCATCTGCTGAATTGGCCGACCTTACAATGTTTGTCATTCTTGAAAACGTTTTACAACGCTTTCAGCACAGAAACAAAATGATAATGACTTCCAGATTTAGGGATGACGGCTGGATTATATATTCCGGACCTATAGAGGAAATACACGAACTATTTACAATAGCTAATACTGCACACCCTCACTTGAAGTTCACCTATGAATTTTCCCGTAATGAAACAATATTCTTAGACACTGTCATATACAAAGGAGAAAGATTCTTTAACGAAGGCATACTAGACATTAAAACCCATATCAAACCAACTGAAACATTTCAATATCTACACAGATACAGCTCACACCCGAAAAGTGTTTTCAAAGGATTTATCAAGGGTGAAGTATTGAGATACATCAGAAACACCAGTAGCAGAACTGAACTTAAAAAACAGTTGGAAGCTTTTAAAACACGTCTCCTCAAACGAGGATATAAAATATCTGAAATCAACGAAATTTTTTATCAAACACAAAATATAGAAAGGGAAAACCTGCTTATACAACGCCCAACGAAACGGGAACAACCACTAGTTATGTTAACAAAATTCAACCCATCTATACAGAAACTAAAAAATATAATTACAAAACACTGGAACCTTATTTCATTAAACCCTGATTGTGTGAACATATTTAATCATCAGCCTATTATAGCTTATAAAAGACATACAAATTTACAAGAACTATTATCAAAGCATTAGCGGGTATAGTCTGCTCGACCTTTCACAACACAATATGATACTGAGCTCACAAAAAAATAAATCATAATCCACTAATATGTTATCCAAAGACAACCGGTGTATGGTCCAATATAATATACGAAATAAAACAAAAAACATAAATAACACGCCAATATACAACTTATTGAGTCGACCACTGATGAAGCCGGACTCAGGGATTTTTCCCCAAACACGGCAGAAACACCGGGCCTAACATTCATGCTCATGGGTGAGCTCGGATGCGCTATTTAAATACCGTCACAATCTCTATAAATGGGTCAAAAACCAACTTAATGTATGCCCCCTCCTCCCTTTTCGTTTTTACAATTTCAGTTTTTTAAACTTAACTTCAGATTTTTAAACATAAACCATTACAGTCGTTGCCTGTCACAATCTCTATAAATTGGTCAAAATCTTTATGGTATCCCTTTTGTTTTAATTTTTTTTATTCGTTTTTGTTTAATATTTTGAATATTCTCATAATTGTCCGCTAGGTCTCTGTAATTGTTCGCTAGCTCGAAAAAAACGTGATTGTCTGATGTGAAATTGTGGTTTTTAGTTATACATCCTAATTGTTCGCTGGCTAATTGTTCGCTACAATTGTTCGCTAGCTTGAGTCAAGTCATAGGCATAAGGTCCGTCTGAATTTGCTGCGTAACTTAATTTTAAAAGTGTTTTAATTGCTGCATATCAATCAATTATTTTGGTATTTTGTTCCTGAACTTCTCTGATCTACATGCATACATATACGGATAATTGACACGTTTCAAAGATGTATAAAGCCAATAGAAAATAAATTGAAGTTGGTAGTACCGTACTCCAGGAATGTATTCGCATAGCAACATTTTAAACCAATTTCACACAAATCTCATATATAGCCTGCGTCGTTTGCTGTTTTAGGATTACATTATATGGAAATATTTTTATTTCAATTTATTTTCATGGTTACTATTTACCAGAACGCTTTCTTGTGAATTTATAATTAAAAGCGTCCTTGCTAAAACGGGACAAACAGTGAAAAGATCAAGTTTTCATTGTTTGCAAGGGGTGTAATATTTTGACACTAGATTTCCTACTACACCGGTTCCCATTGCACAGTAACTTTTAAAATACAAATATCTGCATGAATATTATATTTCAAAATTACAATTATACAAGAAACATATATCAACAGAAATAAATCAACAAAAATTAATATCCGTCAAAACAATAATCTGTATGTTGAACAAATATCAAATAAGATCATCAATGTTATTGCACATTATTATAGTTTATTGAGTCAGGTTGCCATATATGTATATATATTCATAATTACTCTAAATATCAGCACAACAATGTTAAATCTGCTAAATTTGCGGAAGCAAATTTTGTTCTTCCCTCGCCGGGATTTGAACTCATGCTATTGGAACAGTCTGGGTGGCCGAGTGGTCTAGAGCGCTGAACACAGTGCAGACGGTGTTGTCACGATATCCCAATAGCATGAGTTCAAATCCCGGCGAGGGAAGAAGAACAACTTGCTTCCGTAAATTTGCAGATTTAACATTTAGAGTAATTATATATATATATATATATATAAGTGCCTAAGAATGTAACTTTAACACACTAATGAGTGTTATAAAATTAGTTGTTATATTTTATATTATTCACGCAATATTTCGCTAAACAAATTAGCTTCATCAGGCGTGTGCATCTCTCAAGGTATTTTATAACACTCATTAGTGTGTTAAAGTTACATTCTTAGGCACTTATATAAGTGTATTGTTTTCTGTTTGGTATTAGATTAATCATTTTTAAAGATCCGTTTTGTTACATCTTGTGATCAGTTTATTATATATATATAATAGTCTATAAAAATGACCAGCCAGCAAATTTAATATGTACCGGATCGTCTAGAATAGACGATACTGCGCAGATAATAAAAAAAATATATAAGTCTAAAAATTTGCACAACGGTACTAATACAAGATGGTAATATACAAAGATGATGTTATAAAATCGTGTTGACAAATATTTCGGCTTAACAAATAGCCTTAGTCAGTGTCAATAATTTAACAATACTTTATACAGTTACCATAAATATTTTTTTAATTTGTCCTATCTACACTAAGGTATACAAGGTGTTCAGAAAATAAAAACAAATTTCATATATAACGAGTTCCCATGATGGTAACAAACAAGGACAAAATATTTATATTTTGTATAATTTCTTGATTTTTCTTGTATTACGTCAACTTTTAAGTATATAATATATTGGAAAAGTATGTGCGCAAATTCCTGGAGTACCAACTTCAATTAATTTTTTAACTAGCTGTATACATGTACAAAAACCGAGACGATCTTTTCTTAGAATTGTATAAAAAGATAGTAAAAAAGATACCTACTTTATACAAGAATTATCTTTGATTTTTGAACCCACACAGACAGACTTTTAAATTGTTATATTCACGAAAAGACAACATTTCTATATTAGATGTTCACGTGATAAGAGCAGACCGATGTACTCCAAAACTTAGATGTGAAAAATAAGTATATTTTGGGAAATTGTAACATGCTAAGGACTATGTGGAACACTTAACAAATCGATGACATGAAAAATCTTTAGATTTTGTATGAACATGATTTTTTCCATGTTTTTTTATCAGTATGCAGCAAAGATTATAATTTTTTAGATTTCAGTCACAAGCTTCGAATGCAATTATCTCGATTTATACTAAACATAAAACATCGTGTATTTGCATGCATAATTCTAATAAAACAGTTTATCAAATATTTTCATTAAAATGTACGATTTTTGTTTAAAAATAACTTTTGATCAGTATAGTTATCGGCATTATTTTATTATTGATTTTCTCTACTTTTTCATAAGAAGAAGGAGTTTTCTATTGTTCTCGGTCATTAGATTTCCCACTGGTTATGATAAAGCCTCTCTTAGATTATTTTGTTGTTTCTTGTCTGAGCACGATGTTTCCACAGAGGAAATAAAGGTGGAAAACTGCATAAACTCTGCAGCTTTCTTTGTTTTTTACGAAAATGGTGCATATCATTACGTTATTGTGTCGTCATAACATCAACAATTTTATGCGATTCATTTATGTTTCTTGATGCTATATGCATTTCCAAACATTATGTGCAAATTTGAAATAGTTCTCAAAAACTTTGTTTTTATTTTAACATGAAGACTTTACACTTTTATAACAGTTGTTCATCTGATCGCATATCGGTAGAGTTTATCAGTATTTCTGGTCTAGATTCGAAAATGTACACAAAGGGTGTTTTTGTGACACCAGTAAAACATTTGGAAAGCATTAATTCATATATAAACACAATCGCTGTCTTAACCAGATGTGTCCTCGTTTGTTATATTTACTATTTACATGATGTAAGCATATAGGTACTCAGGTTAAAATATTGTTTTGAAATTCCATCATAATTATTTATCACTTAAAAGAGTTCTTGTGGAGAACGTTTACAAAATTGAAGATTTTTTTAGAAGGACAATATATTTTTTATTATTACGAATGTATGTAATCGAGTGGTTTGATGGCGTTTATTTTTTTACTTGTTTATTATTTTTTGTTGGTTGATTTTTGTAACATGCGTATCGATTTTGACTTGTACCCTTATTCAACCACCTTTACCTATATGTACTGGTTATATTATGTCCTTATAACTGTACAAACAGTTCCATGCTACAGTTCGGACGATAAAACAACTTGTATTGAATAGTCTTACACAATCAGCTCTTGACAATACATGTTTTATATATACGTATACTAGTGCAGGAATTTGACCCTTTATACAGTTAACTTCACCGGATCTGGTTTCATAATAACAATCCATTTGTCAGTTATAAGTGGATAAATTTTATAAGTAAACTCCGGATATTACAAATCTTAACACGTATATCATATTGTAAAGTATAATTATTAAGACGTCAGGAAGTACAGAAAAATGTCTTTAGGTTAATTGAAAGAAACAAATATTTACAGAGCGCACGAGGACACGGAGCAATGGAATTTGATAACACATCATCACGTCTCGCCGAACTTAACCATGCCGAGTCGTTGCGACATATTCCAATAGCCGTGTATCTTGGCTTAGTGGGAGTCACGGGATGTATTGGAAACTCTATAGTGTGTTATATTTATGGTTCTGTCTATACAGAATCAAATTCCAGAATTTTCTTGCTTTGCTTAGCTGTAATAGACTTGTGCACTTGCGTAATAGATATTCCATTGGAAATCATCACAGTACTTAACCAATACAATTTCCAAGAGTCGTTGCTATGCAAATTTTCAAGAACAGGAAATTCACTTACCACTCTTTATGGCAGTGGAGTATTACTTGCAATTGGAGTCGACAGATATCTGAAAATATGTCGACCAATAGGATTTCAGATTTCGAACAGGACGGCCAAATTACTCTGCATTGCTTTGTTTTTTGGCACACTTCTTCTCGTATGGCCTGCATTTTTTATGTACGGTTTGAAAACCACCGTTATCCAGGGTGAAGGACTGAATGGAACGGAGTGTTCGATATCAGATTTTTATCAAAAATCCGTTTATCCGACAGTTTTTCAGATTTTAATTTTTATTTTGTTCTCTGCGGCGTTGTGCATCATGATTGTTATGTATTCTCTGATAGGGAGAAAAGTAAGATTCTTTGCCTACAAAAATGAACGACGACGTAGTCAGTCTAATACGTTAGATAGCGACGATAACTTAGACGATGTTCCTAATCTAAAGAGGTTACAGCGAGTTGATAACTCTAACGCTGCAGAAAAGAACGAGTATGTTCATATGTCACAAAGTAACAGTAAAGACACCGTATTCAAAGAGATCTGCAGTAATGACAATACGGATGCTTTGAAATCTATGGATTCACAGACATCTGTAATCGGGACAATTGAGAGAAAGAAACCATTTAGACATCAACCATCAACTACCCAACTGGATCAGATAAAACGTAAACGAAAGTTGGCTCGAAATACAACATATCTTATGTTTATTGTAACGTTTTCATTTATCATTGCAGGTCTGCCTCATTTGATTCTTATAATTCTGAACACAATCATTGACAACTTTGTGTTAAATATGAATGCAGGTGGTAAGGTCGTTTATAGGTTTTTCTTGCGATCATATTTTCTCGGTGCAACCGTTAACCCTATTATATATAGTATATTTGATAGAAGATTTAGAAACGCGTGTAGAAGTGTAGCTAGGAAATTGAAATTAAAAGTGTGCAGAACAGAGGAGCATGATGTCTAATATGCATATTTACGTACTGCTCAACGTTCGTGATTTGCACTCTATATCTATTGTGCATTTAACTTTCAATACTTGTGAAATAACTGGTCTACATTACCAAGATACAATTTGTTCTACACCTTTTATGACGTTTCTTTATGAAGTATATGGTATATAATAAAGTGTATGAAGGCCTGATTTCATTACCGACACATACAGTATTTGAAACTCATTTTCAGTGGCAAAGAAAATTCTTTAAAGTGGTGCCATATAGGATTGTCTTAAATTTTGGTCTGTATGCGCATTTATCAATGAAATTAACAACAGGTTGACTAAACTCATTATAGATATCAGGCTTAAGATTTTGTACGCCATACGCGCGTTTCGTCTCCAGATTACTCATCAGTGACACTCGTTTTAAAAAAGCTAAAAGGCCAAATAAAGTCCAAAATTGAAGAGCATTAAGCTTGAATTATTTTACTTTTTTCCCCATTTCAGAGGCCAAATAATGGCACGTATTCCACCTACTCCTTTGGGTGGTTGTATTCAAATAGCTACAACTTTATTAATATAAAAGATATAAGGACAAATGATGTACAATATCAACGGAGAGATTTCAAACAACCATTTTCAAAATATAAATAAAATTTATAAATCTCGTGCGTCCGAAACGCCTTTCTGGATTGACCTTCCACCATATCATTTGAACGCCAGCGGCTCTTTTCACAAAAAAATCTTAAGAGTAAAAATAATCGTAAGTCATACACTTTTCAGTATAACTTACGATCAATTGTAATCGTAAGATTTTTTGTGAAAAGAGTCGCTGGGATGTAAAGTACGTCGAAACGTGAGAAACTATATGACCGAAACAGGTCTCTTTGACACATTCCCCATTTCCATTCTCAATTTTATTTTTACAGAGTTAGTCTTTAGTGCCATGTGGAGACAGTAGAGTGCCTCCCCGTGCTTCAGGTTTATGCTCTTATAGTATACAAGATAATGGAGTGTGTCCGAGCGAGAACTTCTCTATGTTCATTACTTAAGGAATATTTATCTAAGACCCCGTTCACACTAGGACATCTAGGTCGATTTAAACTAGATCGGTTCACTTTAAGATCGATGAAAGGGCCAATGTGGTCGCTTTGAATCGATTTTAATCGGTCTAAACTAAAACACCAAAAGAGGTAGTTTAGTTTGTATCGATCTAAAGTGAACCGATCTAACTTTAGATGTGAACGCAAAAGATCGGTTTAAACTAGTACGATTGAATCGAAAATAATTTATGCACATGTATAGCGGCAAAACTATACGTGTCCCTGTATATATCGATGATTCGTTGTTTAACTCATATGTCTCTGTAAACAGACCTTTGTGTACATGCAAGTAAAAACAAATGGAAAAAAGTTGTCTTCGCCGTAGCATAAATTTGCGAAATCTGTGTCTTCTTTTTTTCTGTTGACTTTTTCTTTTCAGGAACGGTCACCGCAACATTTCTTCATGTTGTAACTTCCTTGCTACAGTTTTTTGTTTCAAAATTAATAAAAACTGCAAAAACATCAATATGAAAATTTGAAATTGTGATTCAAGAGAAACAACAACTTCATCCACTTTTTGTTTCAAGTGTGTGTTTCAGTGTATCAACACATACATTTGATTAATTATTTCTATTTATACACAATGTTTACAGTTTTACGGGTAGTTAGGTCAGATCGAATGCATTTTTACTTGTAGTGTAAACGCAGTGGTTCAGATTAGACCGATAGAGATCATTATGATTAAAGATAATGTGAACGCTAACTGGTTTTATCTAGATCGATTCAAATTTAGATCGATTAAAAACATGCTAGTGTGAACGGGGTCTAAACTCATATTTCACTTTTCAGCCCCATTCTACTATTTAGTCAGACGTCACGGCGCTACCCTGATATACCCTCTCTTTTGTTTTTGTCCTCTGGTTTTGTAGTTTACGTATTTTGTCGGGTACTTGATGACGGATAACATTTGACGTCTTTAGTCGTACAGTTTTATCTTTTTACTTTATTCAATTCCTGTGTGCTGGTTCATATTCTGGACGCCAGTCTTTGCTCCATTCAATTGGAAATACGGATAACAAAAAAACAAAAAATGAAACTCAGAAATGGAAAAATACTAAATATCAAACTCGTTCAAAGGGTATCTACACGTCTAAATCTTCGAAATAGCTTATCTAAAAATACTACAATCGCTAACATTTTTAATAATAAAAATTGTGGTTACCCTTCTATCGATAAGTGTCATGCCAAAAAACGATTTACATGTCCCCCGTCTTTCCACCAACAATAAGGTAAGGTCAACGTTTAACGGTCGCACATTTTACTTAAATTTTGAAACTGATATAAATTGAAAAACTAACAGTATTATCTATTTTATACTCACATGAAACAAACCGGGATGCGGTAGTCAGTACGTAAAGATGTTAATATCAGTGACAATACACCTACGTCATGAAATTGCAGTAATTCCGTAAACATTTATGTTCCAATGTTATAACAGGAGACCTTAACATCTTTCAAGACCGAGAGTTGAAATCATTCCTCAGTAAAGGACCTAAATATTGTCCCCCGTCAATTATTAATTGGAATGAGTGTCGTAACATCATCCACGACTCACTCCGTACTTACTGCTCGAAATGGATAATACGAGAAAAAGCTGACAAAAAATCCTTAGATTCTTTTTTTAAATCAGTAATGAACATAGCTGATATTCGTATTAAACATTTTAAAGAACATTTTACTCCTAACAACAACCATAACAGCCCCTTTTCTCGTATCAAACGAGCTAAAAGAACTCGACAATGAATTTGTTTTGTCCCGGCTGATAAGGCTGCTAATAATATCATTATTGTTTGAGTAAATTTTACATTGAGGTTCTGCAATAGGAAATCACGAATTCGCCAACATTCAAACTGACTCCATTTTCGGAAAATGACATCTGTAACAAATATAAACTTTTAGCTATCTCTTTACAAGCAGAACCAAATACAATGAAAGGTCCAACTATGTACTGGCATCCGAAGCTGCACAAAAATCTTACAAATATAGATTTATTTCGTCTTCAAGCCATTGTTCCACTACTAAACTGTCTCTACTACTTACTAGTACACTTGGTACAATCAAAAACCTGGTAATAAATTGTTCAAAGTAAGGCCTTTGAAAATAGTGGAATTAATTACTTTTGGAGTGTTAAAAATTCGTTTGAAGTACTTGATAAATTGCATTCTTATATTGGTGATTTCGAATCTGTTAAAAGTTTTGATTTTTCTACCCTATATACCACTTCGCCTCATAATCTTATTAAAAAAATTCACACACCTAATTAAATGGGCATTTAAAAAGTCAGAATGCGAATATATATGTTCTAACTCTTTTAGGTCATTTTTTGGTCACAACAGACAAAAGAACTATGTCAATTGGAATTGCTTTGATACGATAACTGCGCTTGAATTTTTACTAGATAACATTTTTGTTCGCTTTGGAGATTCCGTATATCGTCAAGTTATCGGAATTCCAATGGGGACTAACTGTGCACCACTTATTGCGGACCTGTTTCTGTATTGTTATGAGTTACAATTTATGACTAAGATCAGCAAAGATCCATCGAAACAACATCTGATACAAAAATTTAATAACACTTTTAGATATTTGGATGATATATTGGGTCTTAATAATGACGACTTCAGTATGTACACTAAAGAGATTTATTCTGCTGAACTGACTTTAAATAAAGCTAATACTAATAATAATCACTGCCCTTTCCTGGATCTTGATATCTATATCTTTAACGGGAAGCTTAATACCCAAATTTATGATAAAGAGATGATTTTTCATTTCCTTTTGTTAATTATCCAGTTTTAGATGGTGACGTTCCCTTGTCAATCAGTTTAATTGAGGTCTGGAGCTGTCATGTCAGTAACTGCTAGTAGTCCTTTGTTAATTTATGTATGATTGTCATTTTGCTTAGTTTCTTTTGTTACCTATTCTGAAATCGGACTCGGACTTCTTTTAAACTGAGTTTTACTGTGCATATTGCTGTGTGTTTGTTTATTCTACATTGGCTAGAGGTATAGGGGGAGGGTTGAGATCTCGCAATATATGTTTAATCCCGCCGCATTTTTGCGCCTGTCCCAAGTCAGGAGCCTCTGGCCTTTGTTAGTCTTGTATGTTTTTATAATTTTAGTTCATTTATATGTTTTGGAGTTTAGTGTGACGTCCATTTTCATTGAACTAGTACACATTTTTGTTTAGAGGCCAGCTGAAGCCCGCCTCCGGGTGCGGGATTTTCTCGCTGTGTTGAAGACCCATTGGTGGGCTTCGGCAGTTTTCTGCTCTTTGGTCGGGTTGTTGTCTCTTTGACACATTCCCCATTTCCATTATCAATTTTAAACATATCCTTGTCTACGTGTTTGAGCATGGAACAACCTTGCTGACTTGTTATTGTATAATGTGTTTGGACATTACTTGTGTCTATTCCAACATTTTATTTGAGAATGCACCACATTTATAGAGTGGTATCACCATACTGACCTGTAACAAAAATTTATTTAAAATAAAAAATGAAAATAAAGGAGGACACTGACTTACCTCTAGACTATGATCATAGAAAATTTTTGTTTGTTTGTTTGTTTGTTTTTGCCTTTTTTTTTAATGTTTGTCACTTTCAGGAGGGAACCCTTCCCCCCGTCTTCCCACACTTTCAGTATACTCCTGAGCTATTACTGAACATTTAACAACAGATGTTGCGTGGGCTCATAATCATACTGACCTGGAATAGTACATCCATGTAAAGAGGACTTCTATGTGAAGTCTATGACACAAAATATGTTCTGTTCCTCCAGTGTTTCAGGATAAACTTTCTCATGTGGGAGAATATATTTGTATGCACAACTGTTGTTGACAGTTTAAAGTCGTTTGAGCAATAATTGTATGTACATGTAATTCTCTAGTTCTCTGTCGAAAAATAAAAAAATGTAGTTCCATGTACATTGTAATCCCATACCGCAGATGATCGATCTCCGTATAGTACTAATTGAATCGAGACCAGGAAAGTTACAATCAAGAAAGGCTATATATTAGAACTTAAACTTGTATTGTCAATCTGTCAATTAGAAGATGAAGATATCATACGTTTTCTCTTCAATGTCCAGTTCTAGAAGGAATATGCAAAGATTCATTCTTGATTGTAACTTTCCTGATTTCGCCTTTGTTAATTAGTATGCTGTCGGAGATAATATAAACTTTACAAGTATCTCTAATGGAGACACAGGGAAACTTCAATGTTGACTTGTCATTGGCGTCTCATTGAAACGTGGCATTCCATTGCTAATGGAAGGTTATAATATATAATAAATTTGCCTGTTTTTTTTTAGTTCATGGGTTTGTCCTTCTACAGCCTTTTTCATGTTGTCATTCTTCACTTGAACATTGCTATAAAATAAATTAAATATTAGTGTATGTCATATTTAGTAAATGGCAATACTTCTGGACTGCAAAACAACCTGGTTAGAACATGACTCCGCATATCATATATGCTGTTTGATGGTTTAATCTTTTTGTTCCGTATAACAAGTGTGGACACAGAATTGTGTTGTGTGATGGGCGAATTTTGATAACGATTTCTGGTGGGTGCCACTCTAAAATCTAACATTCTGTTGTGTTGTCTGGTGGGTCAATGTGGACACTGTTTTACATTTAAATAGTAATGCAGATACTTCAGGAAGTCACAAATACTAACAATGAAGGACATTTCACTCACAGGACAAACACTTGAAAATTAAAATTGAGAATGAAACTTGATGTGGTTCTGCTGATATGTTGCATATTGGCTTTTTCATTGCAAGACCCCCAAAACAAACTGAAATTTAAAAGATTTAATAAAAAAAAAATAATTTGATTGAATCTTTGTTATATGAATGTAATGAAAGATAAAATCAATACGTCAAAATAGCAGTGAACAATTTTTATGATAATGAAATAAAACGAATAGGTTTAGCTTCTGTTTGGATATGAATTTTAACCCATTTATACTGTTTAGAATGTGATTATTTGCAATGGAACCAATTAGTAGGCTTTGCATCTGGAAATTGGTATTTCCGTATAACCAAACATTCATTACGAGAGTACTATGTCCTTCTGGCTAGACACATTTGGGGATAGGCGTCATCTTATCTTGATCATTAATTGTTCTAATAATCTAAAGATGTGTACTTTGATTGGCTACTAGGATTGTTTTATCATTGAAGTTAAATCTTTCTTGGTTCTAGGTAGCTATACTTATTGATTGTAACACTTTTTGTGGGTTATTTATTTTTTACTTGTGTTTATTATATCATCTTTTTGATATGCAAAACATTGTCTGTAACTTTTCTCAGTTGATGATAATAAAAGTATATTGTCTCCACAGTTCAGGCCAATGTCTGGACACCTCCTATTTTCTACTTATTCTTTAACCAAGTTGTTTAAGTATAGCTTATATAGGTGAGTAGAGATTATTTATCGCTGGAGAACACCTTGCTGTACAGGTAAGCTGTCACTAAGTTATTTTATCATTTATCCATAGACGTAAGGTGTTACATACTGCATGTCTTTAAGATAATTCTCATTATATCAGAGTTAGTATTTTAGTCAAATGAATTTGCTTATAGAATATCATGATGAACGATTCATAGGTTTTCGATTCTTTGATATCAGTTCTGATTCAGAACAAGATGTGCAGTCATTGCCAGTGAAAGGCCATTAGTAAGACTAAATTTGTAATCCGACTACAATGGCCCTGACTTTTCACAATAGCAATCAGTCAAGGCTTTTCTAAGCTGCAGTTTGGAATCATCTCTTCAATCTTGTTGAAAGTTTTATCCATTTTGTGCTAAATTGAAGCAAGTGAGGTGTAATAAAGATGTTCTTACCAACTGGTTCTATTGATTAACTTTCTATTTTTACTATGTGGAATGATTTAACACCATGGTCATTACATGTATTGGCAACACGTTTCTTATTTGTTTAACAAAGCTTAATCAGATGATCAAGGGTTAGATTCTTCTTCCCTATAGAGGCATATTGTTCTGCGAAATTTTTGTACCAATGTTTTTTTTTGTCAGCTAAGTTTTTTCCATGCAGGTTACCTTTTATATCAATAAGATCGTATTCTGACTCTTTACTTTTTCACTTTTCCATTTGCATTCCCCCTTTTTGTCCATTGAGCTTTCATTGCAGAGGCATTATAATTGGAAGATTTATTTGAATACTGGTCAACTGTTTACTTGAAAAAGTTTCATTGAAGAAGATATATAATATCAGTCTTTAAAGATTTGGAATGTTTGGAATGTTACAATAAGATTTATTATGAGTAGGAAACGAGCGACTTGTGTGATAATCTTACATTTGTCTTTCTCGAATGATTCAATTCTCCAAGATATGTGTACACAGAAATAGTAATTTGTGACTGCAAGCCCTTGTATTCTAAAAAAATGTCAAACTTATTACTGTTACTATTTGTGCTGATCGTATCACCTTTTATCCAAAACTGTTAACTGTCCTTTTCCTCTGGCATTCTGGCAAAAGTCACTATTCACCATTAAAAAATTGGATTCAAACTGACTTTTTCTTGTTTAGGCTTTTATCTTATAAATAAAATGAAATAGTTTTTTTTTTTGTTTTTTAATGAAAAAAAGCAATGTAATCTTTTGTCCTGAGATGAAGTTTTTTTTCTGTGACTACCTGTCAAAATTTATTCCATAATATATATTGCATAGTATTAAAAATCTGATGCATTAAATGTTAGACCCTTAAATAATACTGAAGTTTAAGCTCTGCTGAATTTTACCATAGGTGAACACAATTTGAATACTGCTTGAAAATTGTTTGCATGTAATCAACCAACAATAGCCCAGCCCAATTGATATAAAAAACCAAGATTAGTTCAATTTATTCTTCGCAATCTATTTATATAACCTCCTTAAAATATATTCTTTTTATCGCATATCATTTATTTTTTTTACGTCATACTTAATTGTGTCATTTCTATTTTAAGTTATGGTTTTATTTAAATAATGAAAAAGTTGTGAAAAATTCGGATAATTTTAAACATTTTTGACATTTTACTACGTTTTACAATTTGTATTTGTTAAATAGTTATATATTTGTATATATAGTGTCGCATAAGCCTATCTAGGCTGGGTATTTGTCTTATTTTATTATTGTGCAATGTATTTTATATAATCTGTATAAAAATCTGTAGACAAGTATGTGACACTTTAATAAAATAAATTATTATCATTATTTATTTATAAAAACCCTTACTTAAAATATGTTGACTCATTATTTTCTTTAGGTATCCATCCTTCTATTCATAGCCATAACTAACAAAATGCTATATGAAAATAAATTTATTGACAAGATTGTTACATCACATTAGTAAAACATTGCACATTGTACACTATAAATGAAAGAGATTCAAAGCGTATAGAGATTATTATACAAAATGTTGACAAAGTATACTTAATACTTAAAATTAATCATTTAGCACTTAAACTTGTGTATATGATTAATACTTTATAAAAAAGGTCATGGGTTTTATTCATTTTACATTACCACTTCATTCAAGTATTGTGACAACTGAAAAGATGTCAGTCTTCAGAGGCAGGTTTAAGGGGGGGGGGGGGGGGGCTTTTGTGGGAACAATATGGTTGGTTATTTAGGGAATCACTGAAGCATGATTGGAGCGGGCCCCCTCTTAGGCAGTCAGTGGGCCCCCACCCTTTTGAAAGTTTCTGGATCCGCCACTGGTCTTTTTTAAAGAATTAAAATCTGATAAAAACAGTGAAGATCTCTTAATAACCCTGAAGCATGCAATGGGTATCTAAATGAAGATTAAGAAGTTCTAAGATTGCATTATCATTTACATCACTATATAAAATGTTAGTTTTTTTGAAGACTGACCATGATGAGCCAAATTCAAATAAAATGTGAGTATGAAATCAAATGATCAAACATATGTAAAATATAATTCTTGCTTCATTCTCTTTCTACAAATCCAAATTGAGTATCGAGTCAACTACTGTAATATCATATTCATCTGTAATTCTTCCTTTCACTGACAAGAATTCAACCAAATATAAACATATCTCCTCAATATTTGAAAAATAATAAATGATAATATATGTAAGAAATCTTCTGATATGCAGACAAAATCCCTAATTTGAAAAAAAACAAAGAAACTAGTTTAAAAAATTATGCAAGTGTAAAATTTTGATAAATATGCATAAAAATTGCATAGATTGTGTAATAAAAAGAACACATAAATAAATAATTACATACATATTGGTAAATAACAATACAAATATAACAAAAACATATCTAACCGAAATTTGTCTAAAACATTAGTCATGAATCTAAAAAAGGCAACCAGAAAATAGTTTATTTTAGGTTCATTAAAAAAAGGTTAAATGTTGAAAAATATAACAATAAAGACGGAAACTTTAATTAAATTATTTAAAGTATTTCCTAATTGTTAATTATTTGCTAATTCCACACTTCCTTAAACAATTTTACTGTGAAGTGCAAACTATTTTTGGTTAAAAAAAAAAGACAAAAATCCTCCATTGTAAAAAATAATCAGATTTTGTATGAATGACAATGAGACAATTATCCAACAGAGATGTAAACAACTTATGTATGGCCTTCAACAATGAGCAAAACCAATACTGTATAGTAAGCTGTAAAAAAAGGCTCTGGACTGACAAAATGTGAAACAATTCAGAAGAGAAAACCAATTGCCTGATATATGCTTAAATCATTAAACAAAAAACAAATATGACTGACAGCTACAAACTACCACCATTGAATCACAATCTCCCTACTTGGGATCCTCTTTTGAATTAAAGATTCAAAAACTTCCATCATTTGTTGATTCATGTTATTTCCAAGATAATTCTATTATTTCTATTAATGGAAAAATTTATTTTTCAATTATGTAATAATTAGAATAAATTCCAAATAGTAATGGATTCAGATAATGTTGTATTTTTTTTAAGGAAATGATATCAAATCAACCTATGCCTTTATCCACCAAAATCCCACTATGCTAATACAAATTCAATTTGGCGACTGATTTTGAAAATTTTTATCGCTGGAGAACACCTTGCTGTACAGGTAAGCTGTCACTAAGTTATTTTATCATTTATCCATAGACGTAAGGTGTTACATACTGCATGTCTTTAAGATAATTCTCATTATATCAGAGTTAGTATTTTAGTCAAATGAATTTGCTTATAGAATATCATGATGAACGATTCATAGGTTTTCGATTCTTTGATATCAGTTCTGATTCAGAACAAGATGTGCAGTCATTGCCAGTGAAAGGCCATTAGTAAGACTAAATTTGTAATCCGACTACAATGGCCCTGACTTTTCACAATAGCAATCAGTCAAGGCTTTTCTAAGCTGCAGTTTGGAATCATCTCTTCAATCTTGTTGAAAGTTTTATCCATTTTGTGCTAAATTGAAGCAAGTGAGGTGTAATAAAGATGTTCTTACCAACTGGTTCTATTGATTAACTTTCTATTTTTACTATGTGGAATGATTTAACACCATGGTCATTACATGTATTGGCAACACGTTTCTTATTTGTTTAACAAAGCTTAATCAGATGATCAAGGGTTAGATTCTTCTTCCCTATAGAGGCATATTGTTCTGCGAAATTTTTGTACCAATGTTTTTTTTTGTCAGCTAAGTTTTTTCCATGCAGGTTACCTTTTATATCAATAAGATCGTATTCTGACTCTTTACTTTTTCACTTTTCCATTTGCATTCCCCCTTTTTGTCCATTGAGCTTTCATTGCAGAGGCATTATAATTGGAAGATTTATTTGAATACTGGTCAACTGTTTACTTGAAAAGGTTTCATTGAAGAAGATATATAATATCAGTCTTTAAAGATTTGGAATGTTTGGAATGTTACAATAAGATTTATTATGAGTAGGAAACGAGCGACTTGTGTGATAATCTTACATTTGTCTTTCTCGAATGATTCAATTCTCCAAGATATGTGTACACAGAAATAGTAATTTGTGACTGCAAGCCCTTGTATTCTAAAAAATGTCAAACTTATTACTGTTACTATTTGTGCTGATCGTATCACCTTTTATCCAAAACTGTTAACTGTCCTTTTCCTCTGGCATTCTGGCAAAAGTCACTATTCACCATTAAAAAATTGGATTCAAACTGACTTTTTCTTGTTTAGGCTTTTATCTTATAAATAAAATGAAATAGTTTTTTTTTTTGTTTTTTAATGAAAAAAAGCAATGTAATCTTTTGTCCTGAGATGAAGTTTTTTTTCTGTGACTACCTGTCAAAATTTATTCCATAATATATATTGCATAGTATTAAAAATCTGATGCATTAAATGTTAGACCCTTAAATAATACTGAAGTTTAAGCTCTGCTGAATTTTACCATAGGTGAACACAATTTGAATACTGCTTGAAAATTGTTTGCATGTAATCAACCAACAATAGCCCAGCCCAATTGATATAAAAAACCAAGATTAGTTCAATTTATTCTTCGCAATCTATTTATATAACCTCCTTAAAATATATTCTTTTTATCGCATATCATTTATTTTTTTTACGTCATACTTAATTGTGTCATTTCTATTTTAAGTTATGGTTTTATTTAAATAATGAAAAAGTTGTGAAAAATTCGGATAATTTTAAACATTTTTGACATTTTACTACGTTTTACAATTTGTATTTGTTAAATAGTTATATATTTGTATATATAGTGTCGCATAAGCCTATCTAGGCTGGGTATTTGTCTTATTTTATTATTGTGCAATGTATTTTATATAATCTGTATAAAAATCTGTAGACAAGTATGTGACACTTTAATAAAATAAATTATTATCATTATTTATTTATAAAAACCCTTACTTAAAATATGTTGACTCATTATTTTCTTTAGGTATCCATCCTTCTATTCATAGCCATAACTAACAAAATGCTATATGAAAATAAATTTATTGACAAGATTGTTACATCACATTAGTAAAACATTGCACATTGTACACTATAAATGAAAGAGATTCAAAGCGTATAGAGATTATTATACAAAATGTTGACAAAGTATACTTAATACTTAAAATTAATCATTTAGCACTTAAACTTGTGTATATGATTAATACTTTATAAAAAAGGTCATGGGTTTTATTCATTTTACATTACCACTTCATTCAAGTATTGTGACAACTGAAAAGATGTCAGTCTTCAGAGGCAGGTTTAAGGGGGGGGGGGGGGGGGGCTTTTGTGGGAACAATATGGTTGGTTATTTAGGGAATCACTGAAGCATGATTGGAGCGGGCCCCCTCTTAGGCAGTCAGTGGGCCCCCACCCTTTTGAAAGTTTCTGGATCCGCCACTGGTCTTTTTTAAAGAATTAAAATCTGATAAAAACAGTGAAGATCTCTTAATAACCCTGAAGCATGCAATGGGTATCTAAATGAAGATTAAGAAGTTCTAAGATTGCATTATCATTTACATCACTATATAAAATGTTAGTTTTTTTGAAGACTGACCATGATGAGCCAAATTCAAATAAAATGTGAGTATGAAATCAAATGATCAAACATATGTAAAATATAATTCTTGCTTCATTCTCTTTCTACAAATCCAAATTGAGTATCGAGTCAACTACTGTAATATCATATTCATCTGTAATTCTTCCTTTCACTGACAAGAATTCAACCAAATATAAACATATCTCCTCAATATTTGAAAAATAATAAATGATAATATATGTAAGAAATCTTCTGATATGCAGACAAAATCCCTAATTTGAAAAAAAACAAAGAAACTAGTTTAAAAAATTATGCAAGTGTAAAATTTTGATAAATATGCATAAAAATTGCATAGATTGTGTAATAAAAAGAACACATAAATAAATAATTACATACATATTGGTAAATAACAATACAAATATAACAAAAACATATCTAACCGAAATTTGTCTAAAACATTAGTCATGAATCTAAAAAAGGCAACCAGAAAATAGTTTATTTTAGGTTCATTAAAAAAAGGTTAAATGTTGAAAAATATAACAATAAAGACGGAAACTTTAATTAAATTATTTAAAGTATTTCCTAATTGTTAATTATTTGCTAATTCCACACTTCCTTAAACAATTTTACTGTGAAGTGCAAACTATTTTTGGTTAAAAAAAAAAGACAAAAATCCTCCATTGTAAAAAATAATCAGATTTTGTATGAATGACAATGAGACAATTATCCAACAGAGATGTAAACAACTTATGTATGGCCTTCAACAATGAGCAAAACCAATACTGTATAGTAAGCTGTAAAAAAAGGCTCTGGACTGACAAAATGTGAAACAATTCAGAAGAGAAAACCAATTGCCTGATATATGCTTAAATCATTAAACAAAAAACAAATATGACTGACAGCTACAAACTACCACCATTGAATCACAATCTCCCTACTTGGGATCCTCTTTTGAATTAAAGATTCAAAAACTTCCATCATTTGTTGATTCATGTTATTTCCAAGATAATTCTATTATTTCTATTAATGGAAAAATTTATTTTTCAATTATGTAATAATTAGAATAAATTCCAAATAGTAATGGATTCAGATAATGTTGTATTTTTTTTAAGGAAATGATATCAAATCAACCTATGCCTTTATCCACCAAAATCCCACTATGCTAATACAAATTCAATTTGGCGACTGATTTTGAAAATTTTGAGAAATGATCCCTCTGAAAATCTGAAATATTTAAACATTAGAGTACAAAAATTTGTTTCATACACATAAATAAATACACTTAGCATCAGACTGTTACCAGGAAATAAATACATCACCATATAAAGAGAAGATAACTTACTTGACAATAGATGTGGAATAATTTTGTACAAAAATAAATAGTTAACCTGTGTAGACTAGATATTAGTTCAAAATAAATATACAAGTATGAAATATATAGTTTTTAAACCTGTTTTTGTTATTTTTTCTCCTTTTAAGAGAAGTCTTCACCTTGCCACAGCACGACTTAATGGAACTCAATTCTAACACCTTTTACAGGTCACATGCAACATTTTTTTATAATCTACTTAAAACTGGTAAGTAAAAAACAAACTTAAATAAATATCAATGGAATATAAATTGTGCATCTCCATATTAGTTTTTAACTTGTTTGAAAATTTCCTAACAAATATGTCTGCAATAAAATTTTATCACTCGTCTCCCCATCACTGTGTTAATTAAGGTCAGATATGACCCTCCTGGAATTTGTTGATGTAAAGTAGCACAATCAGCTGACTTCAGGTTTGATCTGTTCCATTTAGGGAAAACATTTTGCCTCGAGTGGTGAAGGGTAAAAGGCCAGTTGAAAAGAAAGAGTTTCCATGATCAAATTATCTACATGTTCAGTCCTGAAAGATGGAATCAGTTGGAAATTTGAATCCATGCAGTGATTTAGAACCAAGCACAGTCAAACAAAAAAGGTGAATTGTATGGTATACACTACTACTGTAAACACATTGTTTCAAGTCCCTTACATGTGCATGTATACCCGTCTAACTGTATGGCATAATGTGTGATGGTGCTGTATGATAAAACAACTCATGTCATTATAACCATGCTTGCTTAAATCTCATTCAAAATAAAAAATGAGGAAACCCGTTATTTCAATTCCGTGTTGTCAACACACGGCACATATGACATCATACAGAAGAGTAATTACAGGGAACTTACGAAGTTCATTTTCACTGTTTCCTCAATAATTTTTCTTATTATTCCTAGAACTTGAAAATTTTTGGTTGAACATATATCTTATATATAATCCTTTAAAAAGTGCATTAGGAAATCAAACAGCTCTAACAGTCGAAATTTTATTGCATATGACCTTGAAACACCAGAATATGGGGGTTTAATTAAGTTCCATTTGTCAGCAGGAGATGAATAAATGTTAATCACGTTAGGAAAAACTGATTCAAAAGTAAAAATTCAAATCTTTTTTCAGTGCATTAGTAAATTCTTGAAGATTATAATAGATCCACCAATATAAACAATAATTAATAACCTAAAATGACACTTTTGTCCAGCAAAGGAAAAATCAGAAAATTTCTACGCCCAACAAATGTCTTATTTTATTTCCATACTTAATGATCAAATTTGTGTTGATTTTGTTCTTAAAATACTTCATCAAAGTAATCACAAAAATGATCAGTGACTTGCAATAAATGTATTTACACTTTTGGTATAAAGCTATATTTTGCCTCCAAATGACCTTGGATCTACTCCGAATCACCTTTTGACGTCAGGCAACAATCACTTTTTAATTGTGACATCGAATGTTTTGAATTATGATGGCAAAGTTTATGGGAACCTGTGTGATTTTACGTAATGGCGGACAAATTTGCATACAAGTGTAAATACGTCTATAGGCTGATACAATCATATACAATAAAATGATATCAAATCACCAATTCAATACAATTTTCGTGACTGATTTAAAAAAAAAAAAACAGTATAAAAAGGTTATCAGTCTCCTACAAAAATGTTATCTAAACTCCATGCCTGAAAATACTGTTTTTAGTTTTCATTTGCACATGCAGAAATTCTAATATAAAAACTAAAGAATTTCTTGGTAGTTAAACGGATAGACTTATTCAGTGACCAGTCACATTTAATGATGTCACAATCATGGAAAAAAAAGAAAGATTTTGGTTACAAGTGGAACAGATCTGTAGTAATCTGCAACTATGATCATTCCATGATGGTCAATCAAAACAAGATGGCATCAATAAAACTTTCAAAGGAGGGACTTAAACCTAACCAATTGGAATCTTTGGTTAAATAGTTAGTTTGTTAGCAGCAACCTTCTATCAAGGAAATTATGATAGAAAATGCAAGCCCTTGAATATCAACTGGGAGATATTAAATCAATTTACAAGCACTGCTGAAATTTTGTTGAACAGAAATGGAACATTCACAATGGGAAAATTGAAATCACCTCTTTTGTAAGTTCTCAGCTGATCCCTCATTGTAAGTTCTCAGCTGATCCCTCATTGTAAGTTTTAGATGTAAGTTGAGATAGGAAGCAGGCTAAACTTAATCTGTGGACACAAGTATGATTTTTTTACCTTTAAGAAATAAAAAATCTTATCATAAGCAGCTGATTGCAATGAAAATGATGCTTTGGTCTTGTTTCATAGAAAATATGAAGTTTGAATCTTTAGCAATCTGTGGAAAAAAACAGCTAGAAAAGAAAGGGAGGTGAAGAAAGCAAAAATCATCATTTCCGTTCAAAATTTTAGGAATTCTGCCTATTGTTCAAAATGAAGTATATGGTATATAAAAAAACAAAAACAATAGTGTTGTATAAAAAAGGAAAAGGAAAATATACCTGAATGATATCTATGAAAGCTTTAGTCAATTCTAAGCAAATACCCATTAATCTATTAAATACTTTATAGCATGAATTTAGAAGGCACTAAGAATACTTTTCTCCAATATACACAACAGCTGAAAAATATATCATTTCTTTTTTGTATTAAAATGGTATACTACATGCTTTCTTTTTTAGCAATAAGATGTAGAATGTTCCTTTCTTCTTCTCTTAATTCAAATAAAGTATTTATTTAATATTACACCAATATGACAATTAATGACATCAAAATGTAACTTTAATTATTTCAATATATCTCAATCTTAGTTTAAACAGATTTCACTGTATAGAAAACAAAAGTCATCACAAATTTTCATTAGAAATGACTTAGAAAGTAAAATATTGCACTTTGTTTATAGTCTAGAGTATTTCTTTTACAAAACTAGACAAATAGTTTAACATAATTTATACATTTGATCAATAAACTCAAATAAATATCTTGGTATAAAACCATATTACTCCCTATTTATTTCAGTAAGGGTCCTCGTACAATTTTCAGACTGGTCAATATATTAACTTTTTTTCTCCTACTATAATTTATTAGCAATTTTTGAAAAAACTATGCCTTTTAAAATTCAAAGCTTGGAAGCCAAAATACACTTGATATTTGATTACAAAAGCTGATCTGCCATTATGATTAAATACTGCTGCTTTTACTAATCTTGTATATTAAGGTTGTATATATCTATATAAAGTATTACACAAGTGTTTGTAATGTTTCAAATGTATGGTCATCAATGTAAACAGAAGACACACGATTACTTTGGTATAGACTTTCTGGTCGAGCCCGTGGTATAACACATCTAGCTTGTAATTCATCTATGTAGTCTTTGATTAGATGTGCTATCTCATAAGCCTAAAATTATAAAACATCAATGTATGTTATTGATCTATATAGTCTTTGATTAGATCTCATAAGCCTAAAATTATAAAACATCAATGTATGTTATTGATCTATATAGTCTTTGATTAGATCTCATAAGCCTAAAATTATAAAACATCAATGTATGTTATTGATCTATATAGTCTTTGATTAGATCTCATAAGCCTAAAATTATAAAACAAGAATGTATGTTATTGATCTATATAGTCTTTGATTAGATCTCATAAGCCTAAAATTATAAAACATCAATGTATGTTATTGATCTATATAGTCTTTGATTAGATCTCATAAGCCTAAAATTATAAAACAAATCTGAATGTTTACAAATTTTACTCTATGAAAATAGTATGAAGTCATTGTTTTCTATAATGATGTACATAATTACTCTAAAGTTCAATCATTAATGAATGGTTTCAGTACTCATAAATTCCTGTTTCTGGATGGAGGCAATTATCTACATTATTTCATTTCTTCTCTTTACTTAGTAATCATGTGCAGCATCGACCATAACATTTTAGCAATTTACAAAATTGCTTTGATTAAATAAAAGCTTGTACACTCATGTATCATTTTGTTTTCAAACTCGAGTAGGGGATCTCATTCTAAGAAAATTCCTTAATTTGTGTTTTTTTCTGTATATATTATATATATTGTTTTATCATGCAATTTAACCCTGGCAATTTTTGTTAATTTTCCTGAATTCCAAAAATGTTGTCTTTGGTTTTTATAGATATCTACATGGCTAAACATGGACCTTGGAGAGTATCCCACAATGAACTGTTACAAAAACAGCAATTTTAACATTACTGATTACATGTTGAATAGTTTTACCTCCTCACTTACTCTATTGCGTTCACAATGAATCTATACTGATAAATCTTGAATTGTATTTATCTGATTCTAAAATTCACAGAAAAATTAACCACAGAATAAAAAATCAATATTTCTTATTCATGCATAAACATTTGACATATCTTTTGTCTCATACCCACAAGAAATAGCTCATGCAAGCAGAGACAGCAATTATCAAAGTGTTGTTGTTTATGCATAAAAAAAACAACATTAAATTTATGTATCTGTTCTAGCTATTTCACTTATATAAGTGGTGCTTGTAGAATGAATGAACTCCACTATGTGTAACATATGTCCAGATGTCATTTAAGGAGTAAGGGAATGTAATGACAAATAAATGTGTTAGTTTGTTATGTGATTTATATGATTACCTTGTGATTACTAACCTGATTTGAATTAAACATGTACTTTGATCCTGTTGCCATGTGACCTACTACAATCATAATACTTTTTATAGCTGGACTGGAATGGACGACTGCAGTGAAATCGTGGGCGTCTAATATTTCCTGAAAAGATCAAAGATTGTTTGTAATTGAATGACACTCTAGAAAAAGTTATTGTGGTACATTGTAATTAATTATTTAACACTTTTAATTCTGTGGGAAAATAACATAGACTATGAGAATCAGGTTTTATTTTCATAAAAAATGCACATTCTCATGATACTGTTTAAGTTAATATTTAAATTCAACATAAAATTATTGCATGATGTTCTTTAACCTTGATTATCTTTAAGTTCAAATAACACTTCCCTCCATATTTTATTTATAGATCCCCTACATTGCAATACTGTTTTTCATAATTTAATATAATTTTTTATAGCTGGACTGGAATGGACAACTTCAGTGAAATCATGGTAAAATTTCTTTTCAAACTTTTAAAGTTATTACTGTAATTTTCCTCCTTAAACTTACGAATGTTTTCAACTCCAGTAACGACACACCTTTCTGGTTGATTGCTAGGAACAGTAACTTTGGTAGTGATGTTGTATAAGATTGCTGAAAAAAAGATGATAAATGAACATAATTCATCTGTGGGTCCAAATTTTTCCTGAAATTTGTACTTTTTCGTTCATATTTTTCCTTAAAAATTTATATTGAATGTGAGAAAATGCTTATAAAAACCCAGGCAACATCAAATCAAATCAACATAAAAATTTAAGAGTTTATTGAAAATGTGTTATTTTGAGATTTCCCACTGCTTATTAGCAAACATCAGGTGGATGTGCTAGCTATAACAGAATAATTTACAAACTGCATCTGCCGAAATGGACTTCACCTGTCATTGTAATGCAATGTGAACATAATCATTGCAATGCCACTGTTGATTTAACAACATGGTTGATGGTGAGAGTTATAAGCAACAATGTTGCATAACCACAGTCAAGGTCAAGGGTATATTTTGAATGTTTTAATTTGAATATATATGAGTATAAAGTTAGAAAAGGAATAGAAGTACTGTAAATGAAGAGTTGCCATTAAACCTGCATTGGCAACAGTTAAATGGCGCAACTCTTCAACAGTACTTTAAATATCAAATATTAACACAACAAAACTAATAATTTTGCAATTCAATAACAGTATTCATTAAGACTTTTCTTTTAGCTTTAAAATCTCAATAAATATTTTCTAACATTTGAGACACCTTACAGTAAGGGACTTGTATTTCATCAGATGAATATACAAATCATGTGGCTTTACAATACTTCAATGCATTGGCTGTAAAAAATCCTTTACTATGATTGACTAGGATCCTGAAATTTCAGTTCTATTCAATGTTGTTTGAGGTTGTCGGGAGTGATTGAACACCTCATTATAATTAACCGAATTCCCTGTCTACTTGCCTTAATTATAATGAGGGCAGAATTTTTCAGACCCAAATTATCACGAACCTATTTCTAGACTTTAAAATACTCACTGAAACTTCAAATAATGTTGATCCAAACAATGGCCATGATTTGAGCATTTCTATAAAGGTGAGGATTGCCTGGTTTGGTGTCATATCTAGAAGATTTTGGTGAGCTGCAACTATATCTTCTACTTTTATATTGGCCCTCATGCTACGGGGTAAAATTCTTACTACAGAACTGAAATAAAATGTTTAAAATGTCCAGTACAATATTAGTTTATTGTATCAGAAGGTTGCTATATAACTGTTTTTTTTTAATATTTTGAAATTTCCATTCAACAGCATCTTTAACAGCTGATAAACATTCAGCTTTCATAGGTATTTAGTGAGACAAAAAAAATATCACAAACATTTTGTATTTTAAGTGTATAGGAATGACAATATATTCTCGTGATGATGAAAGCACAATGCTGTTCTATTACTGACTACAGTGAATTTATATTCATTATATATCTGCAATACACATTCTCCTACATCTGCTATAAAGTGTTTAATTTTTGGAGGTTAAATTTCACGATTTCTATCACCAAACCTGTTGCAAGGTTCCATTTTGCATTTTTCTTGTCCTAGAATCTGATCATGCTTAAGGGTCATACATATCTAAATGATCACAAAATTAGCATAATAAACCTCTTGCTAATATCCCTCACTCTATAGTTTAACCTCAGATCCCTGGAAATTCCTTATCAAGAATAATCCTAAGGTATGAATTCATTTTTTAATGCACAAAGACAGCATTTTTTTATTATAACTGGATAATGGTGATGCATATTTTCAGGAAAAAAAAACCAAACTATAATTAAACTCCTATATTCAGAGCCGCATCAAATAAAACTAAACTTTGTGAAAACAATCACCTAATTCTGCAAGTATGCAGCATCAGTCAAAGAAATTACTAGTTATTATCCAAAAGTATTTAGTCTGCAGTAAAGTATGACAGATTGTATAACCATTGATGGAAGGCTTAAAAGCTGAACTATCTGGTATGCATATCATATATTACCTGTAGTCTATATCTGCCGTCTTCAGTTCGTCCATCTCAGATTGAATCTTTAAGGCACACAGATGAACCTAAATTTTAATGAAAAAAAATTTTTGAAGTATATAAAAATCATTCTATATAACATTTTTTTCATTGGTTAAAATTTACCATCAAATCCACAGTTGACAAGTCCTAACTGAGGAGAGAGCCGCCATATTGAATTGCTTAGATCAACAAATGTTTGATTACTACAATATAATCCAAAATACAACAACACCTACCCTAAAACCACTGTTTTGATGTGATTTCATCCAAAATAGAATCGTAGAAGTAACGTAAAAACATTCAGTTTGAACGTTGTCATTTGTATGACATCACCTTTAGCCATGACGTTTATGATTTTGATTTTGATTTTTGGTGTTTTAACGCCACTTTTAAGCACCGCTTTTGGGCTATTTCGTGGCGGCCAGTTTTTATTGGTGGAGGAAGCCGGAGTGCCTGGAGAAAACCACCGACCTTCGATAGGAAAACTGACAATCCTAGTCAATTAAGATTGGAGTCGAGTGCACCCTCACGAGCGGGGTTCGAACTCACAACCTCAGTGTTGACTGGCTAGTGATTACAGTAGTAACTACTTAAACCCCTCGGCCATCGAGGCCCCTCCATGACGTTTATGTGCCAAAATCATTAATGAATTTTTTGTGGTATTTTATTTTATTTCAAATTGAAAGAATCGGAATAACAGTGCTGTAGTTGAAGAGTTGCCATAGTCAATTGGGATTTGATGGTCACAAAAAATTGATGACAGCTACAGTACTGTTATTCCTTACATGTTTTTGAGGGCTATTCCTTTGAAATATATGTTGGAGGGTAGGAAGGGTAGATTTAGGTTGTAGGTCATTAATGCTATTTTGTCCATTTGATGTAGGCAAAATTATCAAAAGTATGTTGGTCCCTAGGGATTAAGGAAGTCCCTGACTACCCTCCCACATCAATTTCAATGGAATAGTCCAGACTACATTTTTTCTAAATGTGTGAATCAATCAAATTTGTAAATTGGTGCCATATATCAAGACACTATAATGTATAGTTCCTGAGAAAATTGTGAAGAAAATTTGATATATGTATGATTTTAGCAAACAAGTAGAAGAAGTTTGATGGAACTGAAAAGGTGTCAAAACTAATGGCATTACCAGATGAAGCTTATTGCAATAGACATGTATTTATTGAGAAAAAAGGGACAGAAACATTTTATGGACAGATGTTAACAGGTATACCCTCCCCTTTCAAATGTGTATTAATTGAACAAACTGTTAAAGACATGACTTACAGCATCCTCTACAGTAAGTGGTACTCTCTGTTCAAACATATCTTCTATAAGTTGATGGAAGACAAGATCACATTCCACTGGGTCTAGTGGATTTATGTAGGGAGAAATAAACAATCGTTTCTGAAAATATAAAATAATGAAACATCACAATCTACTCAATATTGTGGCTTTATGTACAGGAAATAGTCAAATTTGAAAGAGTGATATGTTGAAATTTTATATTCTAAAGGATTTGCTGGATTTTCTATTTAGAAATTTAATCTTAAATACTAATCGATCATCTCAGACAGTACTGAATTTTGAACACTAATCTATTACTGGTATTATAATTTAAAAATGAGTACTAATCTATTATCTCAGAAAAAACAAAAGACTTTTCTTTTGTATCTTACCGTTAAAACTAATGGATTATATTATATCAGAAAATATGAAAGACTTTCCTTTTGTAACTTACCTTGAAAATTAATCTATTATCCCTAACAGCACCTCTGGAAAGTCTTTCCCATTTACTTAGGGTATCTGATAATTTCTCATCCAAATTCATACACCGTTCTGAAACAAATTTGGCATTTAGTGAAAATATCACTTGAAGTTGTAAGATTTTACATTTTTTATGTTGAATTAAAGAGACATGGAGAGAGAGAGGGAAAATAATATAAAGTTGAAGTTGATTGAATAAAAGTATTCGTTATTTTAACTAATGTTAACATGGAAATTCTTTTTTTAAATGTTTCTTTTGTCAACACAAACCCAAAATGAAACATTCATTTTTCTAGATCTGAACAGGTCTAAATTGTTAAGTTATTTCCCGTGTATTAATTCAAAAGTCTGTGATTAAATGAACATTGGGTGAATAATTATTATATTTGTTTATAGTCATATATATAGACATATATATATATATATATATAAACATTGCAGATTACAACTGAAATGCAAAAAGTTTAAAATTTGAATACTTTTGAAAAATAAGAAGATGTGGTATAATTGCCAATGAGACAACTCTCCTCCAGAGACCAAATGACATAAAAGTTGACATCTATAGGTCACCATATGGCCTCCAACAATGAGCAAAACCAATACCACAAAGTCAGCTATATAAGGCCCCGAAATGACAAATGTAAAGCAATTCAAACTAGAAAACTAATGACCTGATTTATGTACAAAACAATGAATGAAAAACAAATATGATATACAGCAACAAATGACAACCACTGAATTACAGGCTCCTGACAAGTTTGGGACAGGCACATACAGAACGTGGCCAGGATATACTGTTTGAAGGTGCCAAACCCTCCCCATAACCTGGGACAGTGGTGTAACAGTACAATATAAGAACAAATAATAAAAATCAGTTGAAAAGGGCTCAACTCATCAGATCGATACAAAGCAAAAAGACATCTAACAAAAACACAGACCAAACATGGCAGGGTATTATTAATACATCCCCACAACAAAACAAGACAAAGTACAGATCTGAGAGTACTTGCAGTTACTGACAGCTAGTTCAAAGCCCATAACAACTTATAAAAATCATGCATCTAAGACTAAGATATCAATCAGTTCACATCCAATATCCAATGGATTTAGTGTCAAGACATCATTGAGTCAGAGAAAAACATGACCTTGTGCAATGCAAAGATACAGGTACATAGATTACGTTCATTGAAATCTGAAACGTCACAACATACATGGGCAAAGCGAACAAGTTGTGATATATAAACACCGTAAGATGGTGCCAAAGGAACATCACATATATATTATGCATCTATTTCTGAAACCACTGTTCTAGATTACAGAAAGAGTGGGTTTGATCCATTTGCTGGGTCAAACTAAAACATGAAAATTGGTATTTGCTGCTTCTCCATTAAACATGCACCATTTAGAAGTAAGAGCTTAAGAGCTTATACTAGACAGCCAAGAGTCGAAGTAAAGAGTCTGGGTAGGGTCAAATGTCTTCAAGGGGACTGTTATCTTGTAAACTCGCACATTTAAAATTCCTCCCAGCCTGTCATTCTAGTACAAGGCAGGGTTCCTATTCATTTCACATTAACATGTTCTCATCCTGATTATGCATTTATCTTTCCACTGAATGTTCATCAGCATCTTTTTCTGAATGTGCTCAATAAAACATATAGATATGAGATATACTTTTATCAAATTTACAATTGATCATCGGAAAAGGTGTGAAGTAACCAAAGGTCCCTTTTTGTAGCTGGTCTGCTGTAGAATTACAATCATTATCCCAACTGACTTCTGTAATTTTTTTCAACAAATTTTCCAAATGAATATGTATAAATCTGTGTTCTTAAATAACTGCCCAGGACCACTTTTCTAAGCAAGAATAAAAAGATAGTCAAGTTGTGTCCCTCATTTATACTATACATGCATAAAACCTTTATTATAAGTAAATACAATTTATCGCTATTTTCTCAAATTTTCCTTTGATCTTTCTGTGATAATTTTCCATATCATGATATTGGATTTTCTGTCCAGTGGAAAGAGAATGTATAACATCATAAGCCTAGGAAAATAGCGATAAAAAAGATTATCAATGGTCTTTCAAATTCAAGGATTTTTCTTATCTACATCTTATCTCAGGGCTATCGCCCTTTGATGAGATAGTAGCCCAGAAATACCCTCTAGTTTGAGGAATCATCGATTATCTATAAATATATATGGTAGGGAATCCTCATACCTTTGATATCATACAAGTCTGTAAAACAAAAACGTTTGAGGTGTTCTCAATACTGAATAGAATAGATACTCATTATCGTCATCTAAACCTGAATTGCATAATGGGTTTTTGGAATTTTGACTAGCTCGATATGGAAGTATTCTGGTCCTCTAAACCAAAATGAATCTTGCATAATAAGTGTTTGCCATTCAACTGGCTTTATATGGCAGTACACAAACTATCTGATTTAATGATTTTCAATCCCTTTGATTTTATTTTAAAAAAAAATACAAAAAGTATAGGGTTAAAATCTTGAATATGTAAGCCAGATATGTTTAAAATGAACAGACTTCATTTTTTTTTAATCATGACTGTCCTATCCTAACTTTTATTTATACCATTTATTCCATGTTGGTATTATTTTAGTAGGGTTTTCCATAGGAATAGGATTTTGAATAAAACAGCAAATTCACCAGAAGAAAAGTGATATCAACGTCGCTAAACTTCACCTGCTTTTACCTATATAATAACGGTAAAATAAGTGATGTACAATTGGTTTTGGTAAATAAATGTCATTTAATAATTCTTTTCTGTCATATGGAATAAAACAATTACTGTCTATTGATTCGGTAAATATGTGGTTTAATTGACTTTTAAAAAAGTGATATTCACTTCTGCCATTTTCTTAAAAATAAACTCACCAGACCCACCAATCTGTTCATAGAGAGCAAAACAATCTGCATCAGACCTCATTCCAATCTTAGCTTTTACTGTTTTTATAACCTACAATTAAAATAAAAGAATTGCACATTCATGAACCATCAAGTCATTATATGATGAAATATTCATCCTCAAACATTTTTATTTTAGAAGTAGATAAATTTCAACTACCATACTTTCATTTTTTTTAAAGTAGTTATCAAACTGAATAATAAAGTATAAGGTATTCATAGTAAACATTTTTGTTTATGGGCCAGCTGGAGCCCGCCTCCGGGTGCGGGATTTTCTCGCTGTGTTGAAGACCCATTGGTGGCCTTTGACTGTTTTCTGCTCTTTGGTCGGGTTGTTGTCTCTTTGACACATTCCCCATTTCCATTCTCAATTTTATTTTTATTGACATATAAATGTATATTAAGAAGTATTATCTTATCCAAAGAACGAGAGCCTGTAAGTCTTACTTCACAAAAATGAAATAATTTAATTGAAAATTGTGTGCTGTAGATATTCCATTGAAAAACAATCTTTAAATAAATAACAAACAAGTATGTGTGTCCATAAGACACCATGCCTGCTCTGCTCAGACTATCACATTTCCATCTTCATTTGTTTTTTCAAGTACCATTGTTATATGAAATATTTTAGATCATATATTTTCCATTAAAGAAAACTAGAATAGAATTGTTTTTTGCAATATAAAATTATCGAGAATAATCAAGAACAACAGCATATTAGATTAAACAAGATTAACTGTGAGCTATTGCTTGCTAATTATACCCTTGCTCAATGCTGTTGACTAAATGTGACAAAAATTTCCTATATGTCTATTTTAAAGATTAAGGTTTTTCGGCAAACAGGAAAAACATGGAAGGAGCTGAAAATGTGTCTCGCATAATGGTATAATCAGATGAAGCATGGTGCCATATATAAATAAGCCACGACTTGTTCTCCTGAGAAAAATGTGACAGAAATGTGCAACTGACAGACAAAGGTAAATCAGTATAGCCCTGCCTTTTGAGTATGTGTATAATCAAGTTAATAAACTTCATATATTGTCCTAACTTACTGATGTAGGGAAAGTTTCCAAAATGCAAATATGAAGAAAGTCAACATTTTTCATTCCTTTTACAAACTGATAGCTTGAGAGTATTCTTGTTATAGCATCCTCTCATTATTGATATGAATCCTTTTCAAGATTGTTTTTATTTACACTTTTAGCAACTTTAGACTTTATAACATATCATTAAAGGAATATCTTTATGCCCTTTTTTGTTGTTTTATGTTTTACCTCTTCACAAGTAGCAGCAGAATCAAATTCTATACTCCTGTTCTCACCATTCATAAAATATACTCTGTCATATATCTGTCGCCTGTAAATATGAAATATATACTGTCATTCATTTTTCACTTGTAAACATATAATATTCACTATCATATGTATAGGATTTTTGTAAACTTATACTTTACTTAGTGATATAACAGTTGTATAACAAATGCTGCTAAAATTTTCATCTGAAAAAATCTTCAAAATGAAACATTTTGTGGAACACATCTTCAATGTATATACAAACTTACTAGGAATTTTGAAGGCTCTTTTGGTTTGTGTTATTAACCATAATTCTTAAAGGGAATCACAAATATATCATTTCTGCAAAATCTGTAAGCAATTTGACCCCTTTACAGATTTTCATATGAAATTTGATGAAATTATTCCCATGATTAATTTTTTTTCCTAACAACTGCAGTCATGTTATTTTAACAATTTGGTTCTCATACATAACCTCGTCAGTATGATGCGGTGTTCAAGGCAGTCATTGGATGCTCTCTGTTTTATGTGAATTGAATGGAACTTACCTGTGACCTGGTTAATAAGGCTCTTATTTATGTAGATCTTATTTCATATCAGAATTTTCAGATAATTTACCCCTATGTTCTATCTTACACCCCTAAAAATCATACAGGAGAAATTTTGTCCCAATAAATCCCTTAGTTTCAGAGGAAAAAATATTTGAAAGAAGTTTATGATGAGCAATGAAGGCCAAGTTATGACAAGGTTTGTCCTAATTAGCCTTCTTGCTATAGAGGAGTTATGACAAGGTTTGTCCTAATTAGCCTTCTTGCTTTAGAGGAGAAGGTCTTTGAAAAAGTTTATAAGGGACAATGAAAGCAAGTGATGACAAAAGTTCAAATCAGCCTTTTATGCCAGGTGAGCAAAAAATCTAACCTTTTATGCTGTCATTGAACCATGAAAATGAGGTTAATGATGACAGACATATGCTAGTAGAAATATCTGATCATGGAACATCTATATACAAATAAACACAAATTGACAAACCTATCTATAAGACATTTAATTTCCTTCCTAGATGGTGGGAACTTTCTCTTCCTATGTTCCAATGTTCTGTTGAAGCACTGAAAATGTAACAAAAGTTTTGTATAGTATGCAATTAAGTATTTAATATATCCTATTTCTGAAAAGTATTTCCCCCCATCCTTTTATCAAATTCAAGCCATTCAAAATTTATTTCTGTTCCATCTATGGGATATCAAAGAAAATAACAAAAGTTAAAAAAACATTTTTTAGTAAATGATTCTAAAATACTTGAAGAGTTAAAAGTAGCCATTTATTTTCCTGAAATGTAGAATTCAATGGAACATGTAAAATTTGTATGACAAAGGTGATCAAACTTATTGAAGATTTGAGTCCATGGCTCTAATAAAATGCTCCGCTGGGGCGCAGCTTGATACGACCGCAGAGGTCGAACCCTGAACAGTTGGGGCAAGTATGGACACAACATTCAAGATTGATACAGCACTGAATTTGGATTGTAATTAAATATTTGACACAGCATAGGTTTCTGACACAGAATGAAAGTGGTCTAAGAACTTAGTTTACCTATTCAAACCATATCATTATTATTTGCTTTTATTTATAAATCAGAAATAACCAATTTAAAATGGTAAATTTTAAAGAAAATAAAAAAGGAAAAAAAAATCCCCCCCCCAATTTTTTGAACCCCCTTATGATTCATCACCCCCAAACTCAATCCCAGCCTTCCCTTTGTGGTATGGTACCTTGCAGTACAATTTCAGAGAGATCCATACACTAGAACACAAGTTATTGTCTGGAAACTAGAAAAATGCTTGTTTTTTGGCCCCTTTTTGGCCCCAAATTCCTAAACGTTTGGGCAATTACCCCCAAACTCAAACCCAGCTTTCCCTTTGTGATATGGAACCTTGCAGTACAATTTCATAAAGATCCATACACTTACACACAAGTTATTGTCCTGAAACTAGAAAAATGTTTGTTTTTTTGCCCTTTTATGGCCCCTAATTCCTAAAATTTTGAGGGAATTACCCCCAAAATCAATCCCAGCCTTCCCTTTGTGGTATGGTACCTTGCAGTACAATTTCAGAGAGATCCATACACTTGAACACAAGTTATTGTCTGGAAACTAGAAAAATGCTTATTTTTATCCCCTTTTTGGCCCCTTATTCCTAAACATTTTTAAGCAACTACCCCCAAACTCAATTCCAGCTTTCCCTTTGTGATATGGAACCTTGTAGTACAATTTCATAAAGATCCATACACTTACACCCTAGTTATTGTCATGAAACTAGAAAAATGCTTGTTTTTTGCCCCTTTTTGGCCCCCAATTCCTAAAATATGCAGGCAATTATCCCCAAAATCAATCCCAGCATTCCCTTTGTGATATGGAACCTTGTGATACAATATCAGAGAGATCCATACACTTACACACAAGTTATTGTCATGAAACTAGAAAAATGCTTGTTTTTTGCCCCTTTTTGGCCCCTAATTCCTAAAATTTGGATGCAATTACCCCCAAAATCAATCCCAGCATTCCCTTTGTGATATGGATCCTTGTGGTACAATGTCAGAGAGATTCATACACTTACACACAAGTTATGTCTGGCAGTTACAAAAATGCTTGTTTTTGGCCCCTAATTCCTTAACTGTTGGTACCATAACCCCCAAAATCAATCCCCACCTTCCTTTTGTGGTATTAAACCTTATGGTAAAATTTCATTGAGATCCATTCACTGAGACTAAAGTTAGAGTGCGAAAACTAATGTGTCTTCGGACGACGACGACGCCAACGTCATACCAATATACGACCACAAAATTTTTTTTGCGGTCGTATAAAAATCAAAATCTCCAAATCGAAGAGATTCCTTTCCCATTCAAAATATTGAGTATAAATATGGGATAAAAAATCATAAAAGAATGGCACAAAGGATGGACAAGATGATACTCACTCACCTCAAGTTGGAGGGGCTAATTAATCATATAAAATGGCAAACATGAAACATTGTATTGACAATTAAAACTATTCTGTAGAAACTTTCATCTAGTCATCCTTTATCTGATTAAAAAAATGCTTGTAAGACAGAATTCACTGTATACTTTACCTTGTGACAAAACCTTGCGTATCGTCCTTCCTCACTAGCAGCATCTAAAGAACATTTCCTTAGATGACACTGTATATACTTTTGTACACGTGTATTGGAAGGGAAAGTACAACTTGTGGTTACTGCCATTAACTGCCAGTTCCTCTTGTTAACTTGACTGTTAGGATCTGAACAATAAAATCATGTTAAAATATAGCAAAAACTTTTGAAAGCAAAGATTAAGTAAAGAAGAAATGGTGTTACCCATATTAATATGTGTGTCCTCATACTAGTCTACAAGTATTAATTTCAAAAATATACTGTGTGTAGATTCCAATATATTTGCCTGTATAAATCAGTTATGTTTGGGAAAAAGATACCTCTTTCATGCATAGAGCTTTCTAGTGTTGGTCTGTTTTAGGTGTTTGTTTCTCAGATGGCCTTTGATTATTAAACTGTGGTCATTCATAACACTTCTTTTAAACTGAATGAAAAAAACAATGTTATACAAAATGAACTATCAAATAATAATTAATATTCACATTAATTTAAGAAGATTTAGCATTATCTAAAATGCTGACTTATGGCTGTTCCATAATTTAACACATGTTTTTGTGCATGTGTGGATGAATCATGAGGCACTTTATTCAGGATTTGATGCATGTTTAATATTTTTTTTACAACAGTTTTAAGAATCACATAGAACTAGATATAAAAAAAAATGTGCCATCTGACATTCACCCCTCTCACCATACACATTTATAATTACAAAAACAATCCTTATCTGAGATACCTACCAGGATGGTCTGTGGTCTGTTTGGCTAGCTGTAGATAGAATTCATTACACAGCTGATCATTGTCCAGACATGTGTTCATTAAATTCTGTACTAAGCTCATCAAGTCTGGCTTCTCATCACCTTTACCTAGAAATAAATTGTCAAGAACTTTAACAAGAACTATCAAAGATCTGACATCAACACCACAATTAAGGAAAACAACATTTACAAAGTATTACTAACCAAAACCATTAGTGAGATCCCTGACTTGTGACCAGGCATATAAACATCACTTAAAATACTTTTTTCCTTTATTTTTTGCTGACATATTTCGAAGGTTACAAGTGTACGCATCTGTAACTCATGTCCCAACCTCAAAATCAATTTAGAAACAGTTCTGTAAATCATACTTTTAAGTAGAACTTACTACAAAGTAATTCAAGAGTGAAATATAGGTCACAGTGACTCAATTATAATTGTGACTGGTTTCTGAGAAATGGACCTAAAACACCTATGAAAAGAGGTTACTGATCTTTATTTGATATATGGTTGAGTAAATATTTAGCCTTTATTTGACCAAGTAGTTTTCATGAATATCCACTAAAATTTTGAACAATATTTTCTATGGTTAAATAAGAACACAAGTTAGAGAATAGCGTACCCTGCTTCTCATAAACTCCATAACATATCATTATAGTGTGAAACATTATGACTGCCATTATGAAAACTTTCATAATTTTAGGAGGACAGCTTGTTTCCACTGTTCACCTTCTTAATATATAATTACATGATGGAACTTTATAATAGATGTCTATGTGGATAAATTACTTGGCTTCTATTTCACAACTTGCGATATCATTACAGGACCTAACATCATAATAGATTTTTCTAGGGGTAGCTTACTTGGCTTCTCTTTCATTTCTAAATATATAATCAAATTATGAAACATTTTCACAGATGACTCTAAAGATACATTACTTGGCTTCATTATGGATCACTTTAATAGATTCCTCTATATATAGGTAACTTAAGTGGCTTCAATATGAAACATACTTATATATTCTTCTATAGAAAGCTTATTTGGGTTCTCTTTCTCTCCATAATATATTACAGATTGGAATACAGTTTTACCAGTAGATCTTTTTTCAGTTCATAATAAATCATAATTGATTAGAGCATTATTCAAACTTTTTAATTGGATAACCTACCTGCCTTCTCTACCCCACAATACATTAGTATACAATGGAACATTCTGATATTTTAACTGCCTCCTCTACCCCAAAATACATAAGTATACAATGGAACATTCTGATATTTTACCTGCCTCCTCTACCCCACAATACATTATTATACAATGGAACATTCTGATATTTTACCTGCCTCCTCTACCCCACAATACATTATTATACAATGGAACATTCTGATATTTTACCTGCCTCCTCTACCCCACAATACATTATTATACAATGGAACATTCTGTTATTTTACCTGCCTCCTCTACCCCACAATACATTAGTATACAATGGAACATTCTGATAGCTTACCTGCCTCCTCTACCCCACAATACATTAGTATACAATGGAACATTCTGATATTTTACCTGCCACCTCTACCCCACAATACATTAGTATACAATGGAACATTCTGATAGCTTACCTGCCTCCTCTACCCCACAATACATTAGTATACAATGGAACATTCTGATAGCTTTCTCTTCCATCTGTGGATCAGTCAAAGAAACAGTCAGTGGATGTTTTATACAAGATTTACTGTAAGACCAGTAACTATCATCAAAGTTCCCACTCCCACCTCCAATAGTTGATTTCCTAATTCTCTCCATCTTAGATTTTGTAAGTCTGAAAAAGATAAATGAGCACTTATTAAATAAACACAATCAACAAGTAATTTTCAAAGTGCTGATCTTTGATATAAGTGCAAATAGCATTCCACAAAGTGTCAGATTATAAATAGTGTACCTCATATAATTTTAGTCAGTACCAAGATACAAAATTTCACTTCTCCCTGGTTATTTAAAGAACTATTGCTTCAATGGAGTACTAAACTTTGTCTTTTATTTTTGTATCTATAGTAACCTTTGATCTGTTTCGGCCATATTGGTCTCCTTTAGTTGACATTGTTTATTTACAGTCTACTTTAGTAATTTTGTCACACATCACATTTACAAATGTTGACATTTGGTAATAATGGTAGATAAAGAAGAAAGAGACTGAATGATATCAACTGAAGAAAATAACTGAGGCTGAATCTACTTAAAAAAGACATGTGTTTAAGGTAAACAATACTTGACTCAGTAAAAACCATACAAAACAATTTTGAGGGACCATATTGAGAGTAACATGTGTCTTCAATAACTTATGGTAACCATAGACAATAGTACAATCAATATAACTTTTAAACCTGTTGGGGGGGGGGCTTAGGTTTGGTGTAAGACATTTGAGTACTCATAATACATGTCAATATTAAACTTCCTATAAATGTTTTTGAAGAATAACGATTTTGCTAGAAATTTAGAAAACAAATTTTAAGTTAGAATATCTTATTATAGAGATATATATTCTTTTTTTCCTTTAAGTCCAAATAATTCATTTGTTTGTTGTTTTTCTTAAAATAATTTTTTTTTATTAAAAATGGTTATTCAACAAGTAAGAGCCTTATAACACATCCAATTAGTCTATTAAGTGGTCATCCATAAAGGCATTTTGTTCAATCTATTAATGTGTCCTACATCACATCAAATTTATATTCAACGACTTCAAATTCATAGTTATGGGAAAATGTAAAGTAAAATCACACCAAATAAAACCTCCACAAACAGAGAAATAATTCCTTTGACTATAAGCAATCATTATGTACCAGTTAATTCATAAAATTTATTGCCAGCTTTAAATCTAATTAAAAGCAAATATACATAAATGTTTACAATTGATTTTCTCTGTTTCATGGCTAAATATAAGCAGACTTGACAAAGTTTTATATGAAAGCTCTGTTGGAGTGTTAGTATTAATACAATGACACACACCACTCATACCTAAATATACCAGCCATACAATTCAACCTGTTCCAAATAAAGTAATATCATGCACGTTAATCAATAGTGATTGGTATCACAGTATAAATGTGATAGGGAGGGACTCAATAATTAATAAAACTAAGCTGCAAGACATTCACATCTTCTTTTTAAATTCACAGTTAAAATGTGACAGAGAAGAACTCAAATAGAAATATAACTTAACAACACGATCATATTGCCTACCCCCCCCTCCCCCCCCTTTTTTTTTTAGACCTTTCAAGTACAGGCCTATCTTTTTTTATTTCAAATTCTAAAAATATACCTCTTTGGATTCTGTTTAAATTAACCAATAGAACCCCTTACAACAGGTGTAGTAAGTTTTTCTATTATTTGTGAACAAATTTTATACCTTCAGATTCCTGGGATTGAATTGAAAGGAATTCAAATTACAGTGCATTTTGCCACTTAAATAAAATTTGATTGCCATTATCAAGTGGAAGTCAAAATTTACTGCTAAAAGCATGCTTAATTATGAAAAAAAAAAAAAAAAAAAACTCAAAATATGTTTGGTCAAAACTGCATTTTTCACAAATATCACTATTTGGAAACTTCTAAATGATTGAATGGTTCATTCATTAGTCTCAATATAATTCATGCACAAACAGCATAGTCCATTTGTCTTCTATAAATCTTTTTAAAAATAATTCATCAAAAATTCAACATTTTTCTATTGATTATACAAACTTGGACAATTATTTTTATGAATATTGCTCCAATAATTGGCTTATTAGGTCTCTATAGTAAAACAGATATGTCTTCAGTGGGATTAAGTAATATAATTGATTAAATGAAAAAAAAGGATCATCAATGAATACATGTCATTTTCAGTGTACCATTGGAGTTTTTATAAAGAACATTAGTTGATATTCAAATGAAGAAGCATTCTGAGGGTTTTGCATATGCAATACAATGACCACTACCATCAATAATGTATAACCAGAATTAAATTGTTACTATGCAGTTTGGAATTACTTAATTATAATTTATTGAGTAAGAATATCAATTTTGAAATGCTGATAATGTCAACATTGGACACTACTTGGCATAATAAATCACAAAGACATCAAGGTTTTAATTTCTCTAGATATTTAAAAGCAATTTCTACTTCCTGGGGTAACCACTTTTACGAAAATTGCACAACTAAAAGGAAATTTGAACTTAATCTGTAACTTTTTATAATAAAACCATGATAACTGTATACCAAACAGGACAGACAGATGCAAAGACCAAGGAATAGTATGCCCTTTTACAATATTAGACGGGGCATAAAAAGTGTAGAAACCTTCTAGAAGACAGAAGGGGACTAATAACTCATATTATTTATCAAAACTGACATCTTTTACATGTTTCAAAGTTTATTTTAGCATAGAACTTTTTTTTAACTTACTCCCAATGTAGAACATCACTTAACTGTAATTACTATAGATAACACAGTCACCTAAATAAATCAGCAAAAATTCTTTTAAAAATTATAACAACACAAAAATGTTGCATAATAAAAGAAAAATCATCTTTAAAAATGAATTTTAAATTAATTTTTTTTAAGGATTAATAGAAGTCGAACTCTTGTCTTTAAATATATGCAATAATACAGCTCAGTTGAAATTTCTAAACATCTTTGTGTCCTCATTTTCTATACATTCAGTGTACATACTGGGATGAATCATACAGACAGGTTAGTAAGGACTTCCTGTATAACAAACATGTTAGTATGGTGTAGGGCCCTTTGCTACATGTCATGCCTTGGTTTTACTACACTTACTTATCTTTAACAATACTGTAAAATATAAGGGTTACAACATTTCACAACATTTAACTGTGTTGAGCTAAAATAGGCTCAAATGTCTCTGTAACTGTTCAAGACTAATCAAAAGTTATCAAAAGTCCATCAGAGGAGAAGGTATGATAAGGCAACTTTTTTAGTCTTTTAAATTTGAAAAAAAAAAAAAAAATAAATATCAAATAACATCCCTTCGATGGTAACAAGACAATAGTTTTGCAAGATGTCTTAGTTATACATTTACAAAGATACTAATTTTGATAAACTTTTGGATAGGGCCTAAGCTCATATTTAATTTAGCAAAAAAGATTTTCAAAATTACCCATTTCATGTCAAATATGTTAATTGGTCTCATAATGACACTGACATTTTTGTACAGATTATACCATCTGGTTCATTTATCAATAAAAGTAACAAAATGTTTAAAAGGATTGAAGAAATGCACTATTTTTGTAATTCTACAGACTAGAAAATGACTCTCTTCATATCTCCTCCTTTGGTGTTTTTCAATATACCCACAGGGAAGGATCAATTCTTGAAATGAATACTCACAACCCAATTAGTATTTTGGAGGAGAATAATTACCCCCTTAGGCTTAGGTAAGGTTTAGTGATGAAAGAGAATGCCTACCACATCAGGTAAGGAGTAGGGTAGTCATGGATGGAAATGCCTACCACATCAGGTTAGAAGTAGTGGGTATATTGTCATGCTTATCAAATAAGGTAAGAAATAGTAATGGGAGGAATGTTTATTACATCAGGAAAGGAACAGTTTTATAAGGGAACAACAACCACAAAATATGACATAAGGTCAGAAATTATTGTAAATAAGATGCTTATATCTCAGGTGAGAAGTTTTTGAATGGAATGCTCAGCCTCAAAAGTACATAATGCTTGGTTTATAATATATTGAGTGGATGAGGATGACAATGTTTAACCCTTCCTATAATGAATAGTTGTGGATGGGAATACTTATCCTAACCCAAGTTCAGGTAAGGAGTAGTTGAAGATTGGAAAAGTACAATATTCAAAACAATGAACTATTATACCTGAATACTAAAATTCTGCATAAAAATCAAATACATAAAAAAACTACCTTCTATTTCTTACTGAGATAAGTAACTATGGCAAAGACTTCCTTGCAAAATGTTATGCCATTTAATACAAATAATTAACTAAATATAAATCGTATCTGAAAAACCTGCTCAATTCTTAATTATTGCTCGAAACTTCACTTCATTCCCTACCACTAGTAAGATGAACATTTTGTCTCAACAGTGTGATAGGTGATAGTAAAAGTTGAGAGAAAAATTACTTCATTCACATTATAATATTACTTTTATCTAAATTAATAGCAAATACCCTCAATTTTTTATGGTTAAGTAAAAGAAGCATTCGTTTGACCTAGAGTGATAATTTGAGGTTTATAAATTTCAGTACCAAAAACATTATGATAACATACCTGAATTAATCTAAACTTAATTTTATAGTTTATATAATAATCTTGCTTGCATATCAACATTTTTACAAATAAAAAGTATTTCAGGTTTTAGACCATCTGCTTGTTCTGTATAAAGTAAGCACCAACATGATTTTCTTTGCAGTAATCATAGAATACCTGAATAAGCAACAGGTTAAGTTGCACCCACTTTTTTCATAAGGCAAACAAAACTAGTAAAGGAATTTAAAAAAAAAAGCACTAACCTTCTAATAGACTGTCTAAGGAAGCCAGGATTTCCATGACCAGATGGTTTCTGTAGTAAACGACTATCAGATAAAGCTCTTCTACACCGAACTATTTCCTCATACAGTTTTAGTTTTTCTTCATCTGTCATCTTAGACTGAATGAATGAAAATAAGAAATATCCAACATAACAAATCAATAAAGAGTATTTATTTTCATCACTTTTATAGTTGGTAGGCATAAACTTTCAAAGACAAAAAAAAAATTGCTTTAATTCACTGATTTTGTCTGTTTTTCTAGCCCCACTCCCCCAAAAAAAACATTGGAAAAAACTGATGTTTTTAGCATAAAAATAAAAATGTGTGTATCACTACAGAATGCAATGAATCTAAAAATGAATGAATGAGTTCAATACAATCCTATTTCCACTTGAATGCTTCATGATGTTCTGTATAAATACAATACTTTTTGGAAAAAGGAAAGTGTGCTGTACCTGTTTTGATTTTCTTGCTAAATAAGGAAAAAGGTAATAAACAACACAATTTATTTTAATACAAAAATCATTTGATTTATCTCCCTTAAAAACGATCTTTTAAACCAGGTGAGCAAAAAAAAAAACTAAAAGGTTTAAGATTGATATGATTGTGTTTGGAGATTTCCAAATCTTGCATCACTACTAAAATCAAACAATATAAACATATAAATTAAATGCCTATATATTTTCTAAGAACCTACCTTCTTCTTCAGACTTTCATATTCTGGATTGAGCCATGAGGCATGATTTGGAGAATAACTAGCAATGAGAGAACCTATATCTTCTTTACATTCTGTCTCAAACATAAAACATCTCTGTTGACAGTTAACTTCAGCCGTGTTCTTCAATTCTAATGTCACATAATTATCATTAGGGTCAATTGTTATAGACTCTATTTCAGTATAATTAAACTGATTTATCACATTTTTGTCTCTAGCTTTAATAAACTTAATTCCATCCATATTGATAGCAATTAAAGCATCTCCTGTATGTGACCACAATCCTTTATGAACAATGGGGAACAAAGTACATCCATACAATGGAAACTGTCTCACTGCTGTTAAATACCAAACTTGTGCTTCTAGTTCAGTCTTTCCTTTACCATAATGCTGCAAAAATAAAAAGTAGGATATGTCCTTTCATAATGTACTGAATATATCACAGTGTCAAAAATGGACATCTTTGCTAGCCAAGAGTTACGAAGCTCTCTAATGATAACCATTGGCTAGCAAAGATGAGGATGGAATGCTGTAACTCTTACTGTATTTGATAAAAATGTTACTTTATATCCCTGTATTTGATATGATTTATGGACCATCTATTTGAATACTACACTATAGTAAGGAAAGGTGATATCCACCAATTTCTACAAGTTAGCAAAACCATGGTACACTTAAGGGTCATGGAAGATATACCTGTAAGCTAAAGCAGACAAAAATACCCCAAATGTATACACAAAGTGAGGTGCACATTTCCAATGCATACACACATATTCTAGAAAGTTTAATGGGAATTCATTGAACAAGATGGCTCTACCAAGAATGCAGTAATATCTATCAGGGTTCACTGTGTTTAAAGGGAGATGATCATGGTTTTCACTATCTATTTTTTAAACCGACTCTATGTAATACTTACACTATGAGATGCAGCAACTTCTTCATTCCAGTCACGTCCAGGCATAGCTAATATCCTCTTACTTAAAAACTGCTCTGCTTCTTTGTATCTATGGTAAAATATAAGTAATGGATTATTTTCCAACAAGTCTATAAGAATTTTTATATATTACTATCTTTGATAAAACAATAATCATAAACAACAACAAAACACCTGAATACATGTACCACTTATTTTGCTGATATGTTTTTGAAGATGAATTTATTGCAATCCCTAGTGTGTAAACATGCAGTTTTTGCAGACTTTACATAAAATGCAAATATATCAGACATAAAGTCTATTTTTCAAAAACTTACCTAAAATCTTTGCATTCCTCGTACTGTCCAAAGGTCACCCTAGCTTGTAAACCAGCTAACTGTAATGCTACCTTATCTGATACTGGAAATTCATCCTGCAAAGATCATCAGTTATCATTATTAAGCACATTTTATAAAGTTTCACATAGTAATTTAACAACTCCATTTTAGGTTTTCAAAATTGAATTTTATATACTATAATACATAATGCTGTTGATAAGAATATAAATTATTGAAAATTCCCATATGATGTAAACTTGTCTTACACTATGAAAATAAAGCTATCAGAATTTTGTGAACAATTGACACACAATAATTTTGAAGTGATCAATGTCAAGTCAATTACCTTAACCACTTTAGCCACACATTCAGCATACAGTAGCTGATATTCAACTGGATCATTTGGAATGTCTTTAATATGTTTATACACACGCTTCCTGAATATTAGTCTGGCATCTGATCCTCCTAGAGCCATCTTTGGTCCCTTCTTAGATACAGTGTCATACTTAGATAACTGAGCAGATTTTCTTTCTTGTCTGAATAAAGTGTAAAATAATTTTTTTAATTTGAAAATAGATATTATACTGATAAAACAAAAGCAGTGATAAGTGCTGTATTTTCACTTGTACTAAATAAATACCATACAATCAGCAAATAGTGCAGTTTCATTTTATATGTAATTAAGGAGTCAAAAATAATTGGTTAGTGCCTTACAATTGTAAAGCATACAAAACTTGATTTCTTGCTTTATTTAGAATTTAAATCTATGTCTTTTAACTTTTTGTTTTGTTGCGTTGCTGTTTCATATATATTTATCCAATATTTCCTTTATTCATTCACATTAAAATCTACAAATAAATTATAGGACTTACAATTCCCATTGTGTCAAAACATCAGCAATATATTCATAACCTCTGATATATCTCTCATAGTCTGATGTCATCTCAAACAGAGCCCATCCTTCTACCGATCGTAAACCTATCTTCCTTGCCACGCTATCTAGTACCTCTGCTGCTGTATCTATAGGCATCATACTGATAGCCTTGGTCTTACCATCCATAAAATATACCTTACATATCAATGGGCTAAGCATCTGCATACTCTGTAAATAATAAATACACTACATTTTACAACTTGTATTCATTTTCAAAATGTTTTAAGTTCTGCGAAAATCTGAAAATTTCCAATGGCACTGAACATACATCATAAAATGTAGCCAAGTTAACTATAACCAGTGGTGAAAATATCTACCCACTTTAATTATATACAAGGTTCTTATTTTTTGTTAATGAAAATTAAATGTAAAATAGACATTGCATTTTATATTCTAATTTTATAGGAAAAATAATGAAAAGTCAGTCTTTCCAACATTGCTTTCTTGAAGTTTCAAGAGCCTTTTATGTTAAACAAGAATGTGTCCATAGTACATGGATGCCCCACTCGCACTATCATTTTCTATGTTCAGTGGACTGTGAAATTGGGGTCAAAACTCTAATTTGGCATTAAAATTAGAAAGATCATATCATAGGGAACATGTGTACAAAGTTTCAAGTTGATTGGACTTCTACTTCATCAAAAACTACCTTGACCAAAAACTTTAACCTGAAGCGGGACAGACGGACGGAGGCACAGACCGAAAAACATAATGCCCCTAGGTGGGGCAATAAAATCTCAAATCAACTTGTGTTAAGTCTCTTTTGAATTTATTCAGACCTATTCTGGACTGGACGTTATATAAAGCTTGACATATCGAATAAACATTATTCTATTGTTAAAGACCCTGTGTTGACCTTTACGTGTCTTGATTTTTTTGTGTTGTTGGGTTGCAGTCTATTCTTCATACCTATCTAAATTTCTGAGAAAAAATAGTTTATCATAAAAGAAATAGTCAAACTAAATTTTTTAATTTGAGGTGGCACTGGGATTTATTAATAGGCACACCTAGACACAGTTATTAAAAAGTGAGTAAAATGCTGCTAATCTGCAACTGACTTTAATTGTAAACAGTTGGAACTTAAAGGACACCTAAAGAAACTATTTTTTAAGAAGACTTACCATAATTTCAGCTGTAGATGGTGGCAGATTTCTGGCTTTAGCTCTTGGCATTGTCAGATGTTTATGACATTGTAGAGAATACTTCCCTATTATACTATCACTGCAATTCTTCTTCACAAACGACAGCAAGTACTGAAAAATAACATGTATTTTACACACACATATGTATATATATGTAGATAGATGTATTCATTTTTCAAGTACTACGAGATGCTTATAATGCTTTTTCTCTGTTTAGAAAATAGAGACTTTTAAATCAATAATTTATGCTTTAATTGTTTTGTTCCTTACAATCAAATTCACTACCAACTGGTTAACACAGATAATTCACTACCAGCTGGTTAATACACACATTTCACTACCAACTGGTTAACACATATAATTCACTACCAACAGGTTAACATACATAATTCAGATATTTCATATAAAAAAAATAGGGAAAAGCATTTGATGGTTTTCCTTAAAACTTATATGAAATCTTACCTTGTGCAAATTTTTACTTGGCGAGAATGAGGCTGTAATCAAACACATTAGTGACCAAGCTTGGACTTGATAATTTTGTTCAGGGCAGTCCGTACACTGCCTAATCATCTGACAATAAATCTCATCTCGTAACTCTACATGTTGTATTCCAGCACCAACATAGTTTTGAACTACTTTCAAAACATCGTCTTTAGACTCATCCTTTATATATTTAGTTATATCCTGCAAACAATTATAATATGAATAAATTTTAAATGCCTTGAGTAATGCAAATATCTACAATTCATATTTACAACATTTCTATTTCTCATTAATATATTTTATCATAAATAAATGTTATTTATTTCAAGTTATGAATACAACCAGACTTTTCAGTCCTAAAATTTTGTTAAAAAATAGTCACTACCTTATTAAGCAATGACTTCTGTAATCTTTTACTATGGAAAAAAAATTGCACAATTTGAAAAATTTAATCCTCACATTAGAAATCTGTTTTCAATTTGTACCTTAAATGAAGTACAGGCTAAATGTACACTCTCTAAGTCATGGATATGTACATGTGATGTTGGTATATTTCCATTCTTACAAAACTTCAGCATTTCCTCCTTGGTTAAATAGCCCTTCTGCAATATAAATATATAAATTTTATCTTAATTCCTGACAATATTTACTGCATCATGAAAGATATTATGTTTTTCTAAAATTTATTTTGAATTCTAATATGATGCTATAGATTGCATGTATTGCTTTGAAATCAAAGTCATATTCTAATCCCAATAAAACATAGAGTAAATATGATTGACGTCAGTTATATTTTTAACAATGCCCAAGATCAAACTGGACATTTTAATAAACCATTTTAAAAGTAAGTCTCCATGTATCTGTACATTTCTTAATTGTGAAATGGCTGGTGTCATAGAAGATGTTTTGCTTCATCAAATCGAACCTTATAGGTCAGCAATGAAGTACAAAAGTTGTGAATTTGTTGTGTAACTCCCCCAATTTGTATGTAGTTTATTACTCCTGTGTATGTTCCTTTGATAACATCCATTGCCCTTATCAATAGATATCAAAGAACACTGTTGCAGCCTAAACAGCTTGTTGTCAGGTGCTAGGTTTTTAGCTTTCAGCAAATGTCATGATGATGAACAGTAATAATAGCATAGTTCCCTTAATATATATAGATTCCACCACTGCATCAAGTGTGTTATGATATTTCTCCACTCGAGGCTTGCCAAGCTTTTTAAATAATTAAAATGTAACTATTGAGAGTTGAGAAATATCGTAATACATACAAGAGTTGTAGCAGTGGAATCTGTTTCTCTAATGATTTTTAGAACAACGTTTATCCTTTTTTTTTCAAATATTTACAGAAAATTGTGTTCTTTATATGTGATGTCATCAGACATGGTCGCCTTTTGTCATGACGTCACAAAAGGAAATTTAGAAGAAACCAATAAAATTGGAGGTCATAATCAAATTTCTACCAATCATTTGCTGAGAACAAAGTTTTCTCTTGTCTAGATGAGAAATATTTTTTTCACACCGATCGAGAAATGTGAAAAAAGCATGAAAATTAATGAAACTGGGTTACATATTTGTATTTTGTATTTTATTCAGTTTTTTTTTGTCCCTTGTACATCCATTATATATATCAATTGTTTACTATGAAACAATAACATTTATGTGTTTTCATCAAAATATGATACTGTGAAGAATTAATCTTTATTTTCTATATGTACTTTACATATAAACTTATCGATTTTCAGTTACATAAAGGGACTGGTAATCATTAACATATTTCTATCTAAACAATTTAGGTTCTGACATAAACATTTCTATATATCAAAGTAAGCACTTCACAATACACAATTTTTTATATCTAGTAAGCAAGCATTTCACAATACAAAAACATATAATATATCTATAATAATATGATCAATACCTCTCCAGATCCAGGCCTTTTTCTCAAACTTTTCATGATAGTCCCACCCACTTCCTTAGGATGATCATTGAAGTACTTCTCAGCATACTCTAGCATATCATAATAAACATGTTCATCCTCTCCCAAATCTTTAACTGGTACTGCATGACCATTCATCTCTGGTTGTGATTCCATATCAAAGTTCATTAAGTTGTGTAAGTTTTTCTCTATGGTTGGTGACAGAGATTCAATGGCAGTTGGAGTTTTTGATTCTTGGTTGATATGATCTGGAAGTGGAGGAGCTGGGATTGTTGGCGGAGGTGGAAGTACTGGTGGAACAGCCACTGAGGTTGGTCTTGGTGGTAGTGGGCGATTTACATTTCCAGCCCCTGGGGGTGGAGGAGGTGGTGGTACTCCCCCAGGACCTGGTGGAGGAGGAGGTGGTGGAGGTATTCCTGCCCCACCAGGAGGAGGAGGTGGTGGTGGGACTCCTGTATTTGATCCCATCAGTTCATCTGCTGCAGTCTCAAACTGGTCTAAGAAATCCTCTATGCCTGCAATTTCTGCCATGTTTTCATCATAAGAATCTGAGTTAGGAGGATGAGCTGGCTTCAGAGAAGCTGATGGTGGTCTTGGTGGTGATGACTTATCCACACTGCCTGGAGGTGGTGGGGGTGGTAATGGTACATTTTCATCCAAACCTTCACTAGATGCATTCATCATTGGTGGTGGAGGTAATGGGTCTTCTCCTTCCTCAATTGATCTGTCAAGGTCATTGAGTACATCTTCAGTTTCCTGGAAAAAGTTCACAATAGAAACTCATCAATCAAAACAATAACAACAACAATAATAAATTCAAGTTTAAAAGTTAAAAAAATTCGTAAGGGTTCCGCGGAACCCAGTGTCTCGCCTACTTTTTCTGTTAATCGCAGGCTCAACAAAAATGAGGAAGTAAATCAATAAAAATATTCCTCTTGATACTATCTTTTGATTGTAAGAAGCTTCTGTCCAAGTTTGGTAAAAATCCAGGATAGTTTATGAATCTAATAAATGTTTAAAAACTTTAACTGCAGACTGAATGTAATGTTAACTGGAAGAAAACAAAATTTCCTTCTAGATACTAGCATTTGATCATAAACAAGCTTCTGTCCAAGTTTGGTACAAATCCAAAATAGTATAAGAAAGTTATTAAAATTTTAAAAACTTTAACCACAGAGTGAATGTGTTGTTTCCTGGCAGAAAATCTAAGTCCATTTAAAAGTAAAATACTGAAAAAATGGATTTATTTTTTTACAAAATTTTCTTCTAGATACTAGCTTTTGATCATAAACAAGCTTCTGTCCAAGTTTGGTACAAATCCAAAATAGTATAAGAAAGTTATTAAAATTTTAAAAACTTTAACTACAGAGTGAATGTGTTGTTTCCTGGCAGAAAAACTAAGTCCATTTATAAGTAAAATACAGAAAAAATGGAATTTTATTTTTACAAAATTTACTTCTGGATACTATCTTATGATCATAAACAAGCTTCTGTCCAAGTTTGGTAGAAATCCAGGATAGTTTAAGAAAGTTTTACTTCTGGATACTATCTTATGATCATAAACAAGCTTCTGTCCAAGTTCGGTAGAAATCCAGGATAGTTTAAGAAAGTTATTAAAATTTCAAAAACTTTAACCACAGAGTGAATATTTGTGGACGCCGCCGACGACAATGACGCCGACGGAATGTAGGATCGCTATGTCTCGCTTTTTCGACTAAAGTCGAAGGCTCGACAAAAATGTAAGTGTTCATGTGACCCTGTGCCTTGTCTGCAATTGCTGCTGTCAGTGTAAAAGTGTAATATTGACTGCTAAAAATCAAGTCCAATTATACCAAAAATAAAGGTAAATGACATAAATTCATTTTCTTTAGATGCTATTTCTGGATCATGAAAAAGACTCCAAGTTTATAACATTCCATGAAGGTTTGAATAAGTTATTCATGTCTGAAAAAACCTTTAACTTCAAACTGTATTTCAACATTTAACCTAAGACAATGTCAAAAATAACTGCAAAAATACTAAGTCCATCTATCAATGAAATAAATATTTTCAAAATAAAGCTTCAGATGCTGGTCATGAAGAAGCTTCTGTCCAGGTTTCATTTAATTACATTACAGTTGACAAAGTTATCAATGTCTTGAAAAAACTTATTTGTAAATTGTTTACAAAGCAGATAGAATGCAGGATCCTTTCATCACAGGCAAAACAAAAATGATACATTTGTAATATATGGTATTAATTTGATTAGATAATATACATCTGTAACATTTTCCTTCAACAAAACTAAAATGAACATAAAAGTTTACAGGAAAGGATCATTGAAAATATATTTTACTCATCTATGTGTTTTCATATATTTATGGTTAACCATAGTGTCGGTTAAGGTTAAAAGTGATTTCAATTAATTGAGACTAATGCACTAATCTCAGCTTATCAAATAAACCAAACATAAAAAATGTCTGCTGTCCTCACATGTTTTTAATAATTAACAAGCAGTGGCCTTATCCTATCATATATAAACTGACCTAAGAGAAGTGACAAATGTTTTTGTCTTGGGTTAATGATGAGTGAAGTATATACTGGATCTAGAATGTTTGTGTACAGATAATGGCCATAATAAGATTTCTGAATAGTTATTGGATGTAACTTGACTTTTCATATATCATAATTGAAATAAGTCAAGATAAAAGCTTTTATAATGACAACACTTCCTTGAAATATTACTAAGATTAGGCTAGCAGCAAAAAGAAATGTCCTGGACATAATTTTGTGCTTATATAGCATTCAAGATCAAAATTATACATATAGCATGACTTTATTCAAGGGCAACTAATACATGAAGTATAACATTTTTCCATGAAGACAGTACAAGAATACAGTCCAAATAGTCTTTTTAATCATCCCCTTTAAGATATGACCTTGATTTACACAGCCTTCTATAAACCCCTATTTTATAAGTAAATCTATGCTTCAGCATTGCATTGAATATTTGCTATATAATACCTATGCTCAATTGCAGTTCAACTTGCAAACCACTCCATTGCTTCAAGGTTATCAATAAAAAAAAAATGAAACAAAAAAATTGATTTTTGTACTCCTTTCATCTTCAAATTAAATCATTATATTTATAAAGGTTAAAAACTAAAGTCAAGATCTATGACTTTTAAAACTTTACAAGGTTAAGCAAAATCAATGAACAAAAGTGTTCACTGTAATGTGTATATGGATTCTGCAATAGTTTGGATATGAAAACTATAACAGTAACACAAATTAACAAAATAGAGAAACTAGAGGCTCTCAAGAGCCTGTGTCGCTCACCTGTATTTACTGATGCTTTGGAAATCATGTAAAATAAGGTTAAAATCATAATTAATAGTATTAGATATTAGATATTATAATGATACCTAAGATAATAACAAAAAACTGCAAAATTTTTGTAAAATTACTAACTTAGGGGCAGCAACCCAACAACAGGTTGTCGGATTCGTCTGAAAATTTCAGGGCAGATAAATCTAAATCTGATGAACATTTTTGCCACCTGTCAGATTTGCTCTAAATGCTTTAGTTTCAGAGATATAAACCAAAAACTGCATTTTACCCCTATGTTCTATTTTTAACCAAGTCGGCCATGATGGTTGGAAGGCGGGGTCATTGGACAATTTTTTTAAACTAGATACCCTAATAATGATTATGGCCAAGTATGGTTAAATTTGTCTCAGTAGTTTCAGAGAAGAAGATTTTTGTAAAAGATTACAAAAATTTACAAAAAATTGACTATTAAGGGCAATAACTCCTAAAGGGGTCGACTGACAATTTTGGTCATGACAACTTATTTGTTGATCTTACTTTGCTAAACATTATTGCTGTTTACTTATCTCTATCTATAATAATATTCAAGATAATAACCAAAAACGGCAAAATTTCCTTAAAATTACCAATTCAGGGGCAGCAACCCAACAACAGGTTGTCAGATTTGTCTGAAAATTTCAGGGCAGATAGATCTTGACCTGATAATCAGTTTTATCCTATGTCAGATTTACTCTAAATGCTTTGGTTTCAGAGATATACGCCAAAATCTACATTTTACCCCTATGTTCTATGTTTAGCCATGGTGGCCATCTTGGTTGATTGGCGGGGTCATCGGACACATTTTTTAAACTAGATACCCTAATGATGATTGTGGCCAAGTTTGGTTAAATTTGGCCCAGTGGTTTCAGAGGAGAAGATTTTTGTAAAAAGCTAACGACGACGGACGACGACGACGGACGCCAAGTGATGAGAAAAGCTCACTTGGCCCTTCGGGCCAGGTGAGCTAAAAAAGGGAAGGGCCAGCATTGTTAATGAGGTGTATACTCAAAGTCAGTGAATGATTTTCTATTAATTTCCCCCCTATCTATTAAAAGGATCCTAAAAGGGGGGTATATATCATGATGAACCCAAAATAAAATTTTGCTAAGCTCATTGCTTTTTCACCAATTTGCAAGAAACACAGTGAATAACTGTAAAAGAAGATGTTGGGTACATATTAATGAGACAGCAAATCAACAATCTTATAACCAAAAGGCATTTAGAAGTCAATAATCTCTAAATAGTTTAGAGACTATAAGATTTATGAATAAATCAATCAGAAACTATCAAAGACCTGCAATCAACACCAGATTCTCTTAATACAAAACAAATATTATAAGATATAACAAGGGACATATTTTGGTAGACCTGTTGGGTTGCTTTGATACTGAATACCTCAACTTATAAGCAATTATATGCAACTGTATGGCCTTTAACAATGAGAAAAACCAATACCCTATAGTCGGCTATAAGATATGAACCAACGACAACCACTGAACTACAGGCTCCTGACTTGGGACAGGGATATAAAGAATGTGGCAGGGTTAAACATGTTTGCTGGCACCAAACCCTCTTCTTACCTGGGACAGAGGTGTAACAGTAGAATATTAAGTTATGTGTTAAATTTTGTCATCTTCATGGGGGTAATGGTCTTATTGACAACCAAATCAGGGATTGCAAATAGCAGTAGCCTGATTGGTCATTTTTGCATAGTATGAAATGTTCTGTGATAAATAAAGTAACTAATCAAAATCATCTTATTCAACTGCTAAATAAATCTATTTTTGGAACTAATCCATTATCTTGTTTTTGGGGATAACTGTATAGATCAATTGAAAATATCCTGCCTATATGTGGGATCAGCATTGTCAAACAACATGCATAACAAGTAAGCAAAATTTGTCACTATTTACCACTGCATACTTATCTTCTGAGTGTTTTCAGATAAAGATTGATTGATTGGTTGTAGCTTACTTAATGTCCAGTGGCATATAAAGACTGATTAAACATGATTTCCTTCACTTCATTTGTTGTCTATCAAGCTATAAGGTTGTGCATCAGTAAATAATGTCTTAAACTTTGAGTCGCACAAGACATGGGTTAGTGAAGTTTGTCAGAGAATTTCAACACCTGCTCATCCTATCTACTTTTTTAAACACAGGAACACTTATTATTTATTACCATATCTTCCTCTAGTTTGTCTCCTAAATCCTCAAACTGTTTGTAAATATCGTCTAGTACTTGATTTGATGATTTGGCTGAGTTCAAGTTGTTTTCTTCCTGTACAAGAAAACTAAACATATCATCAAGATCGAGGTTAGTTGGAGAGGCATGTGGCTTGTACTGTGTCCACATAGAACCAATAAGGTTGGTCAAGGAATCTAACTCTGCCTGAGATGATCTGAAAGTAAACAAATAGAAAATTCATTATATTTTCAATTATAGGCTGTCAAATTTGCAAAGATTTTACAAAAATTACTAAGATGTCTAAAAAGGAAACAAACAAAAAACTGACTAAAACAAATCCTTTGAACACAAATGAATATTCCATAGCATCCCTTTGGGACTCATACTCAAGTCTGTTACCTACAAGGTTTAGTAATTTCTGAATTTTCATATTACTTATTTAAAAAATCTGTAAAATATACAGGATGATGACATCAAATTCTTGACAGATTTTCATATTATTTCAGAAATACACTTACTGAAGCCTCAACATAAATATCCTCTTCATATTTTACTTTTCTTAAAACTTTTTTATATAAACATGTTCGAAGAGTTGACCATAGAATTAGGTTAAGGCTAACCCAGATTTAAAAAAAACTTGTTAAGAATGCAAACTTTTTAACAGCTCTATTTTCTGTTGACGGCAAACTGACTGATGTTACAGTACAAAAACAACTCTGAATATAAAGAAAAACAAATTTTATAAAAAAAATCAATACATCTATATATATGGAAGACAATGTATACCTGCTGTGCATTTTATTGAATTTAAACAAAATTTTCAATAATAAGATACAACAATAGTTAGACTGTTTGCTTTTTAGGTTAAAGTTTAAATTGTCTTTCTTACTTTATTGGTGTGCAAGAACTTCAGGGTAACAGTACCAAAATACCTCTCCCCCAGACCCCTAAAAAAAACCCAAAAAAACCAAACAAATGAATATAAAAACAAAACAAAAACTAAACCAAAAAATAAACCCCAAAAAATCATTGAAAGAAAAAGTAATAAATAACAGCTTCAATTGAATTTTCACCCCATTTAACTAAGAATTCTTTCCTAAAAAGTCACGATAAGGACCAGCAATAAAAAACAGATTACAACAGTTTTGAGTTTAACTGTGTTTACAATAAAAATAATTAAAATATTCATATAATAAGTAAATTGTAAGAAATTTCACTAGAAGTTTGATTTGAGATTACTGGTAAGTTAAGAATCCAGTAACAATAGATACTGTTGATTCCAACAAGGAAGTAAAAATGTCTGACAAGACAATAGGTACTGTCAAAGGTAATGGAAATAAATGTTAAATCATCCTATACAGTAGAAAATCAATGTTAACTTGTCAGGCTAATATGTTTTGTTAGTTCAAAGGGTTGTCTACTTTCTTATATACATCAGTGAACTGCTCAGGCTCCTTACTGTTATAATGTAGTGTACATCAACAAAAGGTTAATAAATTAAGGAACTTTCAAAACTTTGATTGAGCTTAACAGGCTAATCTGAAAATTAATTTTTACATTAATCTTTATTTTGAGAAAAAATTAGTCTCTTGTATATATCATTTTGAATTTTGGCTAAGCTAATTCTATTTTATTAAAGAATTATTTAAATATAAAAGATCTGTCAACACAGATATATGCTTTGCCTGCTTGCAGGTTCTTTCATACAAATAATAAACTGTTGACACAGAGATATGCTTTACCTGCTTGCAGGTTTCTTTCATACAAATAATAAACTGTTGACACAGAGATATGTTTTGCTTGCTTGCAAGTTTCTTTCATACAAATAATAAACTGTTGACACAGAGATATGCTTTGCCTACTTGCAGGTTTTTATCATATAAATAATAAACTGTTGACACAGAGATATGCTTTGCCTACTTGCAGGTTTTTATCATATAAATAATAAACTGTTGACACAGAGATATGCTTTGCCTACTTGCAGGTTTTTATCATACAAATAATAAACTGTTGACACAGAGATATGCTTTGCCTACTTGCAGGTTTTTATCATACAAATAATAAACTGTTGACACAGAGATATGCTTTGCCTACGTGCAGGTTTTTATCATACAAATAATAAACTGTTGACACAGAGATATGCTTTGCCTACTTGCAGGTTTTTATCATACAAATAATAAACTGTTGACACAGAGATATGCTTTGCCTACTTGCAGGTTTTTATCATATAAATAAATCTGTATGTGTATTATTTTCACTCAAGTAACTGAAGAGAAGGTATAAAAGACAGACAGACCCTTTTGCCACATACCATTCACTGTTGTTTATTTCATACACTGTAGGTGAAAACTCTGAAATCTGTTCAAATCAAAACTGCTTAGACAGAGCAATGAAACATACATATTTTTTACCTAAGTTTTACCCCTTAAAAAAGACTGAAAAACTATAAGTGCATAAACCTTCTTAATACGAAGCCTGACAATGAATAATTATGAAGTAAATTTTTGAAAGAAATATATAAAGTATTGCAAGTGATGTTGGAATCCAATTATCGTAAAGCTATATCATTTAATACCAAGCAGCGCTCAACTTCAATTTCACCAACTGACAATTTACTATGATTGAATACCCATCTCTAGCAAAGTAGTGTAAAGACAATATTCTGTAATTGCAATTTATTTCTCGGTCCTGTAATCTGAAATCAATTGTCATATTTGGAGAGAAACAGATTTTTGATATACATTAAACCTAAAGCCTTGCCGATAGTTGTACATATTATGGCACTTAAATCTTGTTTTTAGACAATACAGAACATGACTGGAATATAATTTCTGGTATAATCATCTGACAACCTATGTAAATTCAAATCATTCTCTCATAGCACACTATAATTAAGTTTTGTCTTCTATTCTATCCATAATATTGCTTTAAGCCGTGATTTTAACAAAGGATTTCTTTAACGCTTACTCAATCCAAAACAAATAACAACAAATAAATAAATAGTATGTCAGAAACAAAAAATAAATATTTAAAAAAATCATCATGACAAAAACTGAATGCTTGGTAATCAAATTTAGACAGCCACAATTCTTTTTCATATTGATTTTAAGTACAAAATTATATGACATTAAACAAGTGTTAAATGACTTGAGCACAACTTAACCACTTGGGAATACTGGCTGAAAGGACAAACCATTGTCAACCAAATACATTTTTTTATTTCATTATCATGAAGGTGGACATTTTGTCTGATCAGATTAAATACAATAAACACTCATGAACTTTCTATTTTCTATTCCAATATAAATTATGTCATATAGTTTTATTTTATTATTTGGAGAATTTGGCGTTGTTGCAGATCTTTGATTGTTTTTGTTTAATTTATTCACAACTTTTATAGACATGGGATGATTTAGAGATTGACATATTGTATTGATTGATTGAATGCTGTTTGCTTTACGTCCAGTGGCAAGACATATATTGTATAGGCACCTGTCTTTTGCTTTACGTCCAGTGGCAAGACATATATTGTATAGGCACCTGTCTTTTGCTTTACGTCCAGTGACAAGACATATATTGTATAGGCACCTGTCTTTTGCTTTACGTCCAGTGGCAAGACATATATTGTATAGGCACCTGTCTTTTGCTTTACGTCCAGTGACAAGACATATTTTGTATAGGCACCTGTCTTGCTTTACGTCCAGTGACAAGACATATATTGTATAGGCACCTGCTTTTTGCTGAAGACTGTATGCTGCCCCACTAGATCTATTTTAGTTATTTTTGTCATTAGGTAACTGTCTCATTGACATTCATCTCACGTCTCAATTTATTTATAAGGATAAGGTTCTGCAACATAATAATATTCTCCCTTTAAACAAAGCAATTTACCATGGAAATTTTATTCTGGAACTTTTCTTACTTTCATATGGATGCTACCAACACAGATGTTTTGGCCTGATTAAACTTCTTGAGTTAAAACATATCAATGCCCCTTTTTCTGCTAATTCCGCAACACTTTAATCCATTGGAAATTTGATTGCTTACACTATATAAAAAGAATTAGACAAGAAATCAGGCATCCCAAAAGATTCATCAGACTAAAAATCTTCTTAGTTTCTCCTCTAAGCACGCAGCATTAAGGAGTAAAAGACTTGTCGGCTCGAAGTCAGAATAATGTGTCCAGGTAAGGTGATATGTCTTCCTGCGGACTGTTACCTTGTGAACTAGCACGTTAAAAATCCGACTCAGCGTGTCAGTCTAGTGCAAAGCAGGGTTAATATTCATATTACATTAACATGTTCTCGTCTTGAATATACATATTAATTTGCCGCTGGACGTTAAGCAGCCATCCATCATCATCATCTTCTTAGTTATCTGTCTGAGAATTTTGGTTCTTTCACTTTTTTCATTGTTATTTTTAAACTCTTGTCAAGCATGACATAAATCTGAGGAGTGTGCATCTTTGTTCCATCTGATTATCATACTAAGGCATCCGATTATCATACTAAGGCTTGTTGTGTGCCACTGATAAAAAATCACATTTTAGCATTAAGTCTGACTAAATGTCAATTGTTAATATTTTTTACTTTGTTTCAGATGATGTTCACTCTACATACATACATATTTACATATCAGGATCGAACAATACATTAAGTTTCATATAGAAATAATAAACTACCTAAGAGGAGTTGCAACGACAACGTAGGAGATGGACAGGGCGAACATTTTCAAAGCCTAAAGAGGCATGTCTGTGGGAAAACTCAATGGACTGGTGTATACTACCCATATGCACATCTTTATATTAGGATGTAACAATCTACCAAGTTTTGTTCAAATATGATATGCAGGAAGAGGTGCAATGATCAGACAGCCAAATTGATTCCTATATACTCCCCTACCCCCTCTTTTTTGCAGAGGGTATAATAAAAACTTAAGACAGCTCTGACAGTTTTAAGTATCCTTTAATGAGTTTATTTAATATTTTTTCAAGGAATTTGGTGTTGAGATCTACTGTCTTTCCTCTTTAGTCCATTCATAACTTTTCTAGGAATGGAATGATTAGTGGCTTGTAACAATGTGACAGCAAGTGTGCAATTTAGGAAATAAAAAATAAAATAAAAATTAGGTGAAAACAGTAAAACCTAGAGAAAAGTGTTTGCCACAAAGTTGTTGAAATTTAACTGCCAAACAGGAAAACTGAAAAAAGCTGGT